AGATTGTTTATATATAATAAAATTTACAAAAGAATTCCTCAAAAAAGATTAAAAATTTTTATCAAAATATTTTAATAATCTTTTTATACTTCAAAAAATATTTTTTGCTTAAAATTTTGGGCGTGTGAAAATCACTAATAAATTGTAACAAAAATAATATTACAATAGTAGCTTATCATTTTTTTTATTAAAAAAATATCAAATAAAAGAAATCCATTTTTCATTTTTCATTTCATAATATAATAATATAAATAAAAAATTTATACCATATAATATGTTTATTTGTTCATAAATATAATATTAACATTAAATATAAATAAAATAAATTATTTTAATATCAATAAAAAAATAATAATAGGCCGCGTTATATTTCGCCAAATAGTTTTCGCTATATTGTCTTCGCGATCTATGTTTCGCGATATTGACTTCGCTATAAAATTTTCGCGATTATTGATTTGCGATTATAATTTCGCTCTAATGTATTCGCTTTAACGGTTTCGCGATAAGAGTTTCGTTATAAAAAATTCGCAATATTTGTTTCGCTATATTGTCTTCGCGTATTCGCTAATGTGGATTCGCGATAAAAGTTTCGCTATAAAATTCATTCGCGATTAACGACATTCGCGATAAAAGTGTTTCGCGATAAAAGTTTCGCTAAATTGATGTGGAACCTCTAAAATCTGATCCATGATTTGTTGGAATATAGCAGATAAAGTTTTCACCCCAAAAGGAAGTCTGGTAAATTGGTAGAATCCCTTATGGGTGGATATAGTCAAAAATTTTCTGCTATTTTTATCGATCGGAACTTGTAGAAAAGCATTTTTGAAATCGATTTTGGTAAATTTTTTTCCTTCTGAAAGTTTAGCTATAAAATCATTTATACGTAGAAGTGGGTATCTAAAGTCTTCGAGAGCTGGGTTTATAGTGTCTTTAAAATCTGCGCAAAGCCTGATGTTCCCATCATCTTTGTATACGGCGGTTATAGGACTCGCACATCATTTACAGGCTCAATAATTTTTTCGTGTATCCATCTATTCAGTTCTTCGCCCACAAGATCAATCTTTGAATACGGTATACGTCTTTGTCGTATTATTTTAGGTTGGGCGTCACATTTAAATGTAATTTGACATTTACTTTGTTAATTGGTTCGCTAGTCAATTTGGATTCACAATCTTTAATAAATTTATTGATTTCGTCTTCATATTTGGTGTCGACATTTCCTATGAATTTATTTAAAATATTTTTAAAGGCATTGATCCAGATTCTTCCTAATAACGCGTTCTTTCTCGACTCTACAACTACTGCTAGTAAATATTTAGTGTTTCCTTCATAACTTACTTTGAGTTGTCCCGATGATTTTAATCAAGTTTCCGTCGTAGGCTGTAAGCCGCAAACTGGATTTCTTCATTTCTCTTATGCCAATTTTTTTAGCCTTATCATGAGGTATGATGGTATATTTTGATCCAGTGTCAACCTGCATAGTTGTAGTAACATTATTTAATTTCAAAGTAGTCATAAAAGCACTGTCATCACCATTATCTGTATTTTCAGCCAGGTTGTTGACATTGAAATCATTCTCATTATTGTCTTTGGCAGTGCCAACTTTATTTTCCCCAACTTCTTCAATGTTCATATTAAAATTATTGCTGTCGTAGAAGTTTTGATTATCATACTGGATTTGTTTTCTTTGATTAAAATCCTACCACCGATTACGATCGTCATATTTGATTTGTTTTCTTTGGTTATCATTATTATGCCACCTGTTGCCTTCATAATTATTTGAATTGTTGTTATAAGATAGGTAATTATTATGATTTTGATCGTCACATTGAATCTGTCTCCTCTGATTATAATTGAACCTGGCGTTGTTCCTACCATAGTGGTTGTTATAAGATTGATTATTATTATGAAAGTTTCTGTTGCTATTGTTATACCGATAGTTGTAATTTTGATAGTTACCATCATTATACTGATTATTTCTATAGTTATTATTATTATAATTGTTATTGTTTCTAACGTTACTAAAATTGTTAACACCATAATTTCTATTCCTATTGTCAAAATTTTGCCTTGAATAATAATTAGGTCTATTATAGTTACTATTAATCTCATTCCTATTAGAAGTACTTTGGATATCTAAATTCTTTTCATTATTTCTATTATTGACATTATTTTTATTAAATTTTTTATCCCAAAAACATAATTAACATTGTCACTTTCTGATTTAATGTTAATACTATCTAATTTTCTTCCTATTTCAATAATTTCCTCTAATGTGTAGTTAATATTTTTATTTAATATATTTTTTATATTGTAATTTAAACTAGATGTTCTCAATTTTTCTTTTATGCGATCATCTTAAATGAAATTACATTGTCTACTTAACTTAGACAGTCTAAAAAACCAATCCAAAAAAGATTCCTTAACACCTTGTGAAGCAAGGTTAAATTTCCCAGTCAATATTTAAATATCTTGACTGGGTAATAAAAATTTTAATTTTTTAATAATAATTTTATGATCTTTGATATCTTCCTTAGTATATAATGACTTCATTTTATCGTATAGGTCATCAGATATTGCTTATCAATGTTTCAATTTTTACTGAGTCGGATAAAATTGTTTGAGAGAAATAATTGTCAAGTCTGTCCAAATAAGTGTTTGTCAAGCACCCCTATAATTTTGGAAACCTAACTTCCATGTTGGACGATATGCTAATTTTATCATCCATAATGCAGATTTTTATTTTAAAACTTTATTTAAATTAGCAAAGATAAATATTGTCACTATTATGTATTCAATTTTTTTTTTAATCCAAATTGCAAATTTTTATTTTAAAACTTCATTTAAATTAGCAAAGATATATATTCCCGTTGTAAAGTCATATAAAAAAATTTTCTTTTTACTTTGTGTGTGTCCTTTATATCTAATAATTTTTATAATTTATTACATAATTCGAAAAAAATTTTTTTATTTTTTATATTTATCAGCATATGCACAATATATATGAGATTTTTTTATATATCATTGTGCGTACGTTACCATACAGAGCGGAGCACCATGTTATATATCAATAACGGTGGTGTTGTATGGACAAAAAAAATGTTTTATTTATTATAAATATATCTAAAACTAAAAAATGATACTAAAAATAATTATAAAATAAGGTGTATATATATATATATGCATTATAAAAAAACAATTTAAACGAAATACATGGTTACAGGCTAACATGTTTAAAATAATAGCAATTTAAGTTAAACAAATTTAAAAAATCAATCTCGATTAACAATTAATAAATCAAAATTATATAAAGTCATTAATTTTTGCTGTCTTTTATAGATTGAGATCCAAGTTCCCTTTGAGCTTCAACATATAATTGGGAGAAAAATAGCCTAAGCCTATCCTACGCATAGGATGTTCAATCAGGGTTTAGGTTATTGAGAATATAAAGCTAAGATAATTGCACTTTATCATGTTTAGGACTAACCTTGGACATGAGGAGAATCCCCCGTTGGTATCCTAGGTCCAAGCAGAGATCCGTTTTCCCAACTCTTTAAAGAAAGCTAGGGTTGAGAGCTGAACGATGTTAGAGTATGACAATTAGTGGTATGAATGAATAGATGGCTGGTAGCGATGGCAAATATTTAGCGAGTTTATTCCTCTCGGTGTCCAGTAGTGTATCCTTATTTTATTGGAAGGGGTAAGAGGATCGATGCATGAGAAATCCCAGGCTACGTCTTCCTCCCCCGAGGGATTAAGGTAAAACCATCAAACCGCTTACCATCGGAATTGAAAAGGCCAGTAGGTTCGAGGGTTGATATGATGCCGGTGGATTTAAAGGCCCTGACAATAATATCTTTGTATTTTGAATAATTAATCTGCCTTTACAGCGCTTGCAGTGCAAAAAATGACAACCTTTAGAGTAGACCGATGTTTGACAGAGGATACAGTGATAGCGTATTACCATATCACTATTAAGTCTAAGATCTTAAGCAATGACGTAGCACATCATTGCTTAAGAGCTGGTCAAGGTTTCGTGATGGGAAAGCCTTGAGAAATTTGTACCCGTTGTCTATGGAAATGGAGAAGAGTAGAGAATGGTCCTCGGGTTGACTCTTCAATTTAAAGTATGCCATAGAGGCTTATCCCAGTCCTTCTGTGGTGCCAATGAGGGAGGATCGACTAATGTGAGAGACTTCCATAGATCAACTGCCTGCAGAAGCAAGGGGTCAGGATATTTTGTGTGTATATGACGGGTTCGCAAGACAGGAGAGGATATGAACGCAATAAGGGAAAATAGGGAATGCGACCCTTATTTCTGCCTCCGGATTTTGTTGGTAAGGTAGCTCTTAAACCAAAATAGGTTTCCAAATTTAAGATTGAGTATTCCCTCTGTGCGTGTGATCTCGAGCTCATGTGTAGCGAGTTGACATCGTATTGAAATATTCGCTACGATCGGAGTGTATATAAAATTTTCAAGTTTAAAAAGTAGTTCTTTAATAGACAGAAAGCTTGGTGTACTGAGAGGCGGGATAGTGTATCGCGCATTGGAGATATCTCACGTGAAATATTGGCAAATAACTTAATAAAGGACTCGTTATTACCTACGATGAGATGTGTTAACGCGTTCAATGGTGCATGATTGAACATAGGATCGTGGAATAATCCCAAGAGGACAATATTCGCTCTTGTCTTGATTATAGCAACATTTAAGAAAAAGTTATTTCGCGAGGTATGGTTTAATTGTCGTATTCAAAAGTAGACTGCTAGAATTAAAGGTAGTGAGAGCAAGAACTTTGGGAGATCTAATCCTATTTTGTTTCATTAAATTTAGATTTAAAATATTTTCGGTTAGATCTTTTATTCTTTAGGCGTTTAAAGCAGTGCATAAAGTATGCATGCTATGTTAAAGCAGTTTATATAAACTTTCATTCGTTTAAAGATGTCAGCCAATTCTTCAAACGATGCTTCTAACACTTTAAGCTATCTAAATAGCAAGATATCTCAAAATAATGATACAAAAATACAATTTGCCAATAATACTACCTTACCAATATTACAAAATAACGTATACAGTACTAAAAATAATTTTTTAATATCAAATTTAAATCGACCACAATCAAACTCGATGTTAAATTATTCAAATATCACCTCTCAGGTATTTTAAAATACTTTATATAGTTATATGATAAACTTGTAGACGATAAATTTACTTTCAATGCCTATGGTATTATCAAACAACGTGAATAATCTTCAAAGTCAAAATTTAAATGCCACATTTAAAAGTATTACCAATCCAACACTAAATATTTTGAATCCTATCAAGATAGAAAATAATATAAACGTTAACCTATCTTCTAACTCAACTTTAAATGCTAATTCTGTAGCTGCAACTTACTCCACCAATATAACTCCTGATATGGCAAAAAAGAAATGCAAAAATTTTTTATCAACCCTCCTTAAGTTGGCTTTTCACCAACCCTTGGAAGTAGCTCTAAGTGTTAAAAGCTTGATTCAAGGATTAGTGGTATATTAAATATATATTTCAGAAACAGACCTGTTGACTTTTGTACAGTGGCTGTAAAATGGTATGATCATGAATGTTCATTCATACTTGGCCTACTGGTTAATGGGAACCTCTACAGGTCTGATATGTTTCATAAATAATAAAATGCAATTAAGATTTTGTATAAACTAATATTTTGTTTAGCAGATAATGATAATAATAACAGGGAATTTTATTTATCATATCAATCAACTTTTTGCATACAAAATATTATTACCAATCTCTTCATTTGTTACTTTTACCATTTATTATACTTTTATATATCTGTTCTGAATTCAAAAGGATAATAATGTAACACCAGAAGAATTCACTAAACAATTGCAGAATGAACTTAATTCATCACCACAACCTTGTTTAATTCCATTTTTAAAGGTAAATAATTAATTATTATTAATAATTTTATTGACAATAAACTTTTAATATAAGAAATCATCATAGTCCAAACTAACCCATCAAAATTTTTAAATGTTTTTAGATTCAACTCATATTTTTAGCTTGTTCATAAAATTATGCTCAATTCCCAACCTGTTCCAAAAAAATAATTTGGAAAAGATCTCTATGACTTGAGTCGATTTTTTTAAAACTCTACAAATCAAGCAGGAAAATGCCATGAAATTTATTTATGTTTTCATGACTTTTCTTTCCATGGAATTTACCCTTGTCAGCAAGGTTTATTAATAGTAATCCTTTTTGATTTTTTTTTTAATCTAATAAATTAAGAATATTTGCCATCGTATTAATTTTATTTGTCCAAATGGCATGAAGTAATGTAGTTAGAGCTTGAATGATTATATAGAATAATTTTAGTTAGTTAATAATATAATGCTCATTAAATAAAAGGGAGTCTCTTATCATAAGTATTTATATCAAAATCTATATAACATTCTCTGGGTTCAGTTATTGCCCATTCTAATTCTTTTTTATATTGATATGGAAATTATCTATTTATTATGATAGAAATTTTTTTATCATTGTATCTAGCCTACTATTTGTCTGTTCACTATATTATGCTTGCATGATCGTCTTATTCTTTGAAGGTATATGAATATGATCGCTGCATTTTTAGCCTGGATTTATAATTTATTTTTATATTCAACATAATATATTGATAGCTGCTCAAAACTCAGGAAATTTTTCTAAGATATTACAAATTTAAAAAATTTGATACCTGCTCAATTAATAATTTACCAGCCCTAATGTCAAGACAATATACATATATTTCCTAAAAAATACCCACGGAAATTTATTGTTTATCTGCTTGATGTTTTATTTATTAATGCTAGCTATAAAAAAAATCTCAACTACCCAATGTCACTAAGTTTAACAATTTTTTTAATATTAAGCAAAAAAATAAATTTTTAGATATTATATAGTTCTTTTTGTTAACACAAGTAACCATTGTATAATTTTTCTTTTTAGCTCAAAGTGCAATTATTATTTTTTTGACTGTAAAGTGAGCGAAAATGTATATGCCGATTTTTTTTCTCAATGATACCAATAAACATTTTAACTCAGATGTATAGTTATCAAAATGAGTGTAACTATGCCCTATCCAATTGTAGTATTGGAGTTAGGTATAGTTATGAATATGAGGGGAAAAGGCAGAAAAGAAACTATTTCCTCCAAATATAAATACCAAATATATTTAATCAAATTATTTTTTGTTTAGGTATATTAAGTATGTTGTAATCAGTAAAAAACATATATTGGCATCTTATTCTTATGTTATATTATAATTTCACTTAGTAATCTGAAAAATTATTTTAAAAGTTTCATTTGTTTTTCACAGTCTAGTTCTAACTAATAATCAAATTTATATCCCCGAATCTACTTAATTTTGGCCTATAAGTTTACAAGATATGAAGAACTTTAATCTTTATACTACGGATGATAATTCAATTTCATTATCATATACAAAAAATGTCGTTAAGATATTATTAATTTAGAAAACTAACAGTCAAATAAAGTAGTGTTCTGCATCGGGCCTAATTTTTCAAGCCCCGCCCATACCAAACCCCAAATTTTTTTAAAGTTTTGTTGGCCCGGTCCGAACCCGAATTTATTTATAAAAATTTCCCACCCTGGCCCGAATTTATTTAAATATAGAAATTAATTTTTATAATTACTTAAAATAAAAGATATATGTTATATGGCATCTAGTTTCTATAAATAAAATCAAATATATTTATTTTACATAATAAATTAACATAAAATTGATAAATTTAGATATATTTAAAAAAAAATTCAAGGCCCGACCTGACCCGGCCTACCTACCAAGCCCAAACCCGATTTTTTTCAAAAACTATGGGCTGGGCCTACTTTTCCAGATCTCTACGAAAGAGTATTAAAGATCTTTTCTTAAAAATAAATATATAATTACCTTTTGATTCAGCAGTTATTCGCCAGATGATTGTAGAATAGTTTTAAAAGTTCTTCTATCTGCAGAAGTCTGCTTAATGAAATTCCAGGATAAGCCTATCTCTGCTATTGATTTAGTTATCCTCCCGAACCAACTATTTCATAGAAATTTTTATCTCCATAAAAATTATTAAATTATATTACTAAATTCTATATATTTAAATAAGCTTTTGAATTTTTTAATTAAGTTTTTGTTTTAGCAAAATTTCATTGTTTATATCTTAGAAGTAGGATTACCCTATGAGCTGCACGGTCAAAACATAGTATACTGTTTCCTTTGAACTTATCTTTTATAATATCTCAAAAGTCCTTTTCATATTTCTTTCATTATCTGTGACAATACTATTAAATTTTTACTTTTAACTTAATTATTTTGATGAGTTCATTAGAAATATATTCTTATATGAGAATTACTCCCTGTGCCTTTAGTTTTGTTGAATATGGGTTGTGGGGTAGCGATTAATAAATTTAATAATAAGTTCTCCTCTAATATTTGTCCACCCATTCCTCATTATAGTCAAATTTATTTTCAATATTTATTATCTACAACAGAAAATGGTTTGATGTATATAGGGCTAGTGTCAAAGTGCTGTCTAATAAAGCTTAATATTTTTGTGATCTCATATCTAGTTAGTTAGCAATTGTTTTATGCTTGTTCTTTTATAGAATTATTACCCATAGATGTAATGTAAAAAGTATTAGCATTCAATAATTTTGTATCCATTTCAGAGTCAGATAAAATTTTATATCGTAACTTTCATTATCTGCATAAATATTGATATTTGCTATAGAATTCTTACTATCAGAAATATTTTGGAGATTTCTATTTCCTGGATATTTACAGTATTTTTTAAGTTTGACTCTTTGTTGAGTTGAAATTATATTTGTTATTGCAATATTTACATATAGTATTTGATACTCTTTTAAAAAGTATATCCATATTTTGGGTATTATATCTAAAGATATTAGCTAGCTTCAACAAATTTTGATTTTCTTATAATTTACAAATATGCTAATATTTAAGTAATTTATTGAATATTTTATCAAAGACCTGAAGGCTTCCAAATATTGCATTTTGGATGTGGTATCTAAAGATATTAGTTAGCTTCAACAAAATTTGATTTTCTTATAATTCACAATATGCTAATATTTAAGTAACTTTATCAGACCTGCAGGCTTCAGGGTACATGGGTTTTTTCTAAATAAATTTTTAAATACACGGGCCAGACCGAATATTTTAAATCACGATTATTATATATATGAAATTAAATGTATTTAAAAATTGTTGTGTAATTCAATAATATATCACGTCACTTCTCATATATCCTATATCATTTCAAAATGTTATACCCCCGGGCTGGGCCGAAAATTTTATTTTAAAAAAATCGGAATGAGCCAAAAAAAATTATTCTTTACAGGGCTGGGCCATACTATTAGTGCCTCTACAGGTCTGATACTTATCTTGTCACATTTTAATATACTGTCATAACTTCTCTAGAAGCCTATTTATTTATATTGGAAATAACAATAAATATTTGTTAATTTTAATATATTTTCTCAATATTTAATGTTTAAAAATGTAGTTATAAACATGGGTTAGTTATAGGACAGTAAAATAAAAACAGGCCACAAAGAATACCAAATGTTATAAAAAAAATAAGAGCGATAATTGGTGCATTTTAAATTAAAGAGAATATTTGAAAAATTATTGTAATAATTACACATTTTTTTTTTCTTTTTAGCTTTCACCTTTTCTGGTGGTAAGCTCCTTCAACATCTCTCTCCACTTTATGTTATTCATACAATCTCTTTTATCTAATTTATACTTCTTTATATTGGCTCTAACTTTATGGCCCCATTGAAGTTTTGGCCTTCCTCTTTTACGTTTGCCCATCACTTCCAAACTCTCAACCTTATTTCCTATGTAGTTCATAGGCCTTCTCATTGTGTGCCCATACCACCTAGGTATGTTTACCATTAACTTAGTCTTAATGGGCACTACCTTTAAACTACTTAGTATTCTTGTACTGTGAACTTTTTCCTTTCTTGTTACCCCAGCAATCATCCTCAGCATTCTCATCTCCATAGTTTGTAGACTTCTCTCGTCTGATTCCTTGGCCATGTTTCCGAACTATATAGAATAGTTGGTTGTACTATGGAACTGTAAATTTTTCCCTTTAATTTGTGTGGGATTCTTTTGTCAAATAGCACTCCAGATAAAGATCTCCACTTTAACCACCCTTGATTAATTTTACTCTTTATCTCTTAGTGGGGCCCAAATATTTGCAGCTTTCAATTACCGATATCTGCCATTCATTTATATCAATACTCTCTGTTTTATCTCCTCCTATCACCATATATTCCTTCTTTTCTCTATTTACTTTTAGTCCGGGATTTTCTAGGATATTTATCCAACTCACTAATCTTTCTTTCATTTCATCCTTGGATTCGGCAAGTATCACAATATCATCTGCAAATATCATATTCCACGGGACTGTTTGAGGTATAGACTCTGCTAATACTCTATTACTATAATGGAGAGAATTGGGCTGAGAGCCGACCCTTGATGAACTCCTTCGGCTATTGTGATGCCTGCTGAAGTACCTGTTGTGCTACGGACCATTGTTGTATGACCCATATACATATCCTGTATTATTCTTATATATTTTTCGGGAACCTTTTTGTGGCGTAGCGCCCACCAGATTCTAGATCAAGAAAGACCATGTGTTTTTGTTCTTTTCCCTGTATTTTTTACTCATTTGCCTAATTGCGTGGATCAGTTGTTAATCTTCCAGGCATAAAGCCAAACTGAGTTTCTCCTATTTCGATTATGTCTCTTAATCTTTTTCTATTATTTTTTCGTACAGTTTTAGACAATGTGACATTAGTTTTATGCCCCTGTAATTTTGACAATTGTGTGGGTCCCCTTTATTTTTGTAGATAGGAACTAGATAGGCTCTGCCTCCATTTTTGAGGAACCTCTTCATTTCCAAGTATTTTATTGTATAGATTTGTGAGAAAATGCATTCCATCATCTCCTAGTGCTTTAAGGCTTTCTATTGGAATATCATCTGGACCCCTAGCTTTGTTGTTTTTCATATGCTTGAGGCATATGATTATCTCTTGTTCTGTTATTACACATAATATATATTATATATGAATGGGAAAAATCTATGGTAAAATATTCCCCCAAAGGAATGCTTTATTTTCCCATGAACTTTCAGGGTATTTTGTTCTCTATATCGGCTCAAATCATATTTTAAATGATCAATACATAGGTTTACTAGATCGATTTCCATTTATTATTATTTTTTAAAAGCTTAATTGATTATAATAATTTTATATTATAGAAAAGTCTCCCATATTTACAAATATCACTCTGCCAAGGCGAAATAACTATTGATGGAATCAAGCCACCATCACTTCAAGCTATATTGATGAAACAAAACGTTTTAAAATTGATTTTTTTATAACTTATTATTAGGGCTGTGCCGATCCGCACATTTTTTACCTATCCGATCCGCCGATATTAAAACCGACCCTATACCGATTAATATTGATTTTTCACCTCCCCTCTTTGAATTAAATGTAATTAAGATATAAATATTTTTTATGCAAAAAATCGAATTATGCATTTAATTTTATTTTTTTAATTCTACAATAATTAAAAAAAAAGTACTATAAATTTATTTTAAAAAATAAATAAAATTTAAGGGGTGTTTTGCATTTGCATTGTTTTAAAAAAAAATTATTTAGAAAATATTATTAATGTGAAATAAATATACATAAAATAACAAAAAAAAGTAAAGTAAAAAGATAGGATCGGTTTTACAGATATCGGCCCGATCCGATATTGTTGTAAAACGTGAAATATCGGTACAGATCCGATCCTATATTTAATATCGGCACAGCCCTACTTATTATATTATTATTATCAACAATCAAATCAGCCTTTTCTTCCTTTAAATCCTTTAACAGGCGCGTAGTCCACCCCCCCCCTCCAAACCCCGTAGAATTTTTTAAAAAAATGTAAAAGGTTTTTATAAATTGTGAATTGCAAAGTATTTTATTTCAAAAAAACTGTATTCTATTCTTATTTGAACAAAAAGTTAAAATTGATATTAATATTTCTTCCTTGTATCAATATCCCTTGCCATATAAATTTAAAGTATATTCTATCACTATTTTAAACCTTAGACACTGATTGGATATGAAAATATTTTATCACCAAAAAATCCTATTATATCTCTTCTATATGATTTAACAAATTTTCTAGAGTTCTTTGAAAGTTTAGATATCCAAAGTGAATTTACTCAAAAGAATTATTTCTAAGCTTCTTGTGCTGCAAGTGAAATAAACTGTGAAAACATGCCCGACAAGATGGAAACTTCAGCATAAAATTTTTACAGAATTTTTAAATCCCTTGTAGAAATATCAGAATGGCTTGAAACCATATATTTTACCTGAAACCAATACATGCTGATTTTTATTTGCATTAAAATGTATAATAAATTATTTAATTATATAACAATTTTATATAATATTTTTCAAAGAAAAAGATTTTAATTTGGTTGAGATAGTGAGAATCGCTATATAATTCTACAACTTAAAAAAACTAAGAAACAATATCGACCAAGAATATCACGAGTAGGTGATTGTTGAGACGAAGGCAAAATTATATGATTTTGAGATTCGCAAGACTCGACTTGCACCTAGACAAACAAATGCTTCCAATATTAACGGGGACAATTTAGTTTTACTAAAATGACTGTTTTTATTTCACTTTTGGTTTGGGATAAATTTTTATCTCAAATCAATGAACGATTTCTGATTCATCAAATAGATCTATCCAATTTACTAATATTATTATCTTGATATCCTGAATATTTACTAAATCTTTATATTAAAAATAAATATGGCAAATTTTTATTCGAATGATAAATGTATCTGAAGGGCATCTTCTCAGATACACAATCATACTTTAAAATATTTTTTTTCCAAATATATTAAAATTACTGTATATTTTACACCAATTAGTACACGCGCAAATGAAAGGACCTTTTCTTCATCACAAAGAATAAAAATTTATCTCAAAAGTACGACATCATAAAATCATTCGAATGGATTATATCTTAATATACATCGATATTAAATCCCCAATAGAGAACAAAATATTGAAATATTGCCCAATCATAAAGAAGATTAAATTTATTACATCATATAATGCTTAATTGAATATTTTACCCTTATTTACATACCGGTTCATATACCTATGATATTTTTTTAACAATATATTCCTCTTTAAATTTTTAAGTTCCAAAAATTAATTTCAAAAGAAAATATTATTCTCAACCGGTAGAAAATTCCTGGCTACCGCCTGTTTTTTAATCATTATATAATAAAAAGAATTATTTTGCCATAGTAAAATATAATTTAACCTCCTTTTAACCAGAGGTGCGCGCAATGTTTTTATTATCCGATTACCCTTATCGGGATACGAAAAACGTATTATTATTATTATTATTATTATTATAATATAGGGTTATTGAAGAAGACGAAAAAAGCAATGATATATATATTATTTTAAACCAAGTAATATAAGTATAATTAATTCCATGACAAATCGACCAGTGATTCGGCGACCATTTCAAAAATAAATGAAACTTGGCATGTTAGATTTATGTTGTAAATGTTAATAAAATTAAAATTTTAGAGTGCTTGCTCAACCAGATCCAAAGATATACGTCTTCAAAGTCAAAAATCGCGAAGTGCGTGATTTCATTAATCTTGTTTTTTTTTAAAATACATAAGATAGAGTTACAAATTATATATCATTTTATAGCCCTTGAAATTTACGTTGGAAAATATCAACAAAAAAATTTAAAAATCCAAGTGTTTTCTTATTTCCGGTCCGGTAAAAATAAAAAATTAAAATTGTTAGGAATGGATTTTTTTTGGATGTTGAAATTCTCTAAAAATGTTTATTACCTTTATATTAAACGATTGATAAAAAAATCTCGATAGCCATTTTTGTTTTTTTAATTTTATTAAAATTTTTATAAATAAAAAAAGGTAATATAGATAGCGTTATAGTAAAATTTTTTATAATATATAATTTTCAATAAAAATATGAATAGTATTGGAATTAAAATATCAATTGAGTGTAACCAATATGATGTCCTGGGACGATATTTAAGTAGGCAGCTAGATATGATGTTATTAGGACGCTATATTGTAAAATAACATATTTTAAAATTTTATATTCAAACTATTATAAAAACATATCTCTTATTTATCGTATTTAATTGCGCTTATTATAGAAATTCATAATGCCATAATTAGTAGATATATCCTTTCATTGTTTTGGATCTACTATCGTTATTATTTTTAACAAAAGATTTTTTCAGCTTATTTCATTTTTTTATTCTTTTCTTTCTATTACATTTTTTTTATTCCTTTAATTTCTATTACTTTTTTTAATCGATAAATAGGAAATAATTATTAATCAATGATTTAAAAGAACATAAGGTTAAAAATAATGTTTCTTTTTTAACTTAAATTTTTTTTAAAAAATTAGTAAAAGTCTAATAATGAAATCACTTTGTAAATCCATTCTTTAGAGAGGGCCACAAATCTATTTCAAAAAATCTACAAAAAGTAAGTTTATTTAGATTATGGATTAAAATCTTTTTAATTTTGGATTTTTACTAATATAATATTTTTTTATTAATGGATATAGTGTATTTTAAATATATATAATAGGTGATACCAAGCATGATTAAAAAATCCAAAGGTCTATTAACAATAGGTCATTCATTATGTCATTCAGGTTGCTTATATTTGATAAATATGGAATCCATTGAAGATACATCTGAAATGAAGAGCCCGAACCAACCCTATCCAGTTCAACGTTGGATATCGCTAGAAGAATTGGGTCAATCCCCAATAAAAAAGAATAGAAGAAAATAAAAGATATACCCGCAAGAAAAACTTAAAAAAATAACAAAAGCGTTAAGTCAAAACATATTAAGAAGCAGCCTTCCTGTGTTTGATATGCAAAATAATAAAAATGACGAACTTCTTCAAAATTTAAAACATAATTATGCAATTATTTTTAAGGAAAAAAATATCAACTTCTTACTATGCTGCCTCCATCTTGGACCTTTAAAAAAATTCAGATGGAGTTCAAAGCTACGAATTACTTGGTGGAAAATCTAAATAGCTAATAGAATTAAAAGAATTTATGTTATCTCACAATATAGAACCTGGGCGAACAATTGATCAGGAAATCGTAAATATTATAGAAAAATTTTACTCCTCTGATGAAGTTAGCCGCATGATGACCTAGAAGAAAGACAATAAATCAATAATAATCAAAGGGAAAAGAGAGCAGTCTCAAAAAAGATTAATTTAAAAAAAATGACGAACTTCTTCAAAATTTAAACCATAATTATGCAATTATTTTTAAGGAAAAAAAATATCAACTTCTTACTATGCTGCCCCCATCTTGGACCTTTAAAAAAATTATGGAGTTCAAAGCTACGAATTACTTGGTGGAAAATCTAAATAGCTAATAGAATTAAAAGGATTTATGTTATCTCACAATATAGAACCTGGGCGAACAATTGATCAGGAAATCGTGAATATTATAGAAAAATTTTACTCCTCTGATGAAGTTCGCCGCATGATGACCTAGAAGAAAGACAATAAATCATTAATAATCAAAGGGAAAAGGGAGCAGTCTCAAAAAAGATTAATTTTAAGTAATTTAAAAGAATTATATGAACGATTTAAAGAGAGGCACCCAATTAATGTTGGATTTTCTAAATTTGCATATTTACGGCCAAATAATTGTATTCTGGCTTGATCCAGTAAAATATACAGTATATTGTAATTCATTAAAATTTTAAGCTTATGTTTGTAGAGGCTAATTTGGCAAAACTATTAGCTAGACATGATTATAAAAATATTTTAGCCAAAGCAATATGCAATCCAGCCCTCCTGGGAGATTGTAACTATTGTCACTCTTTCTCAATTAAAGAACAATTAGATGATGTATTTACCCAAAATGACATAGATCATATACCCTTTAAACAGTGGGTACTAGAAACAATAACAAATCTTCTCAAGAATTCTTAACTTTTTTTTGGAAAAAATTCACCTATGCTACGTCATTCCTTTATCGCTACCAATCAGTCATCATATATTTCAAAACTTAAACATATTTTTTACAACCAAATGAATTTATGATGATTTGTGATTCTGAAAATTATGCCTTTATAATCTAGACGCTGTGCAAGGATTCCACTGGAATAATAATCAGGCCACTATCCATCCTATGATAGCATATTATAATAATAATGGCAATCTAGAAAACCTTAATTATGTGGTAATATCAGAGTCACTTCAACATGATGTTATTGCAGTGCCTTTATACCAGACTAAAATGATAACATTTTTGACAAATCAATTCAGCAAAAAGTCAAGGAAAATATATTAATGCTCTGACTAGTCAGCTGCGTAATATAAAAACTGAATTTTTTTTATAAATCTGTGTTATTATGAATCAGATTTTGGTGTAGCAGCTGAATGGAATTTTTCAGCTACATCCCATGGATAAGGTCCATGTGACGGCCTTGGCGGAACATTAAAAAGATTAGCATCACGTTCAAGCCTTCAGCGCATCAGTTCTGCACATTTTAACGTTGATTTATATCAATTTGCAAAACAAAACATGCCATTAGTAAATTTTACATATATAACCAACGAGCAATACAATTTACAAGAGATTAAACTACGAGAAAGATTCAATTTAGTTCCTCCCATTCCAGGAACTCGGGAAATACATGCTGTATTTCCTTTGAGTTAAAGTAAACTTAAATCAAAAATATATTCATATGCAGAGGACTTTCAAATTAACAATATCTCGAATGTTGATAATTTGTCTTTTGCCGATATTAAAGGATTCGTAACTCCGTCAGAGCAGTAATATATTTTGTTTGGCTTTTTGCTGAATTGATTGGTCAAAAATTTTATCATTTTAGTCTGGTATAAATGTATTTCAATAACATTATGTTGATGTGACTCTGATATTACCATATAATCAAGGTTTTCTATATTGCCATTATTATTATATGCTATCATAGGATGGATAGTGGCTTGATATTCCAGTGGAATCCTTGAACAGCGTCTTGGATTATAAATGCATAATTTTCAGAGAAATCACAAATTATCATAAATTCATTTGGTTGTAAAAAATTTTAAGTTTTGAAATATATGATGATTGAATGGTAGCGATGATAGGAATAAATAAAATTAACTGATAAAATCGTTATTTTCAAATAATAACGATAGTATATCCACAACAATGAAAGGATATATCTACAAATTATGGCCTTAGGCATTTCTATCAATAAGCGCAAAATTATAATAGTTTGAATATAAAATTTTAAAATATGTTTATTTTAGAATATAGCATCAATAAAATACTATCTGTATAGGCTGCCTGCTTACATATCGCCCCAGGACATCATTCTTGGTTATACTCAATTGATTTTTTAATTTTAATCATAATACTATTCATATTTTTATTAAAAATTATATATTATAAAAAATATTTAATATAACACTATCTATAATTGCATTTTTTTATTTATAAAAATAATAAAAATTTAAATAAAATTAAAAAAACAAAAATAGCTATCGAAATTTTTTATTAAATCGTTTAATATAAAGGTAATAAACATTTTTAGTGAATATTAACACCCAAAAAAATCCCTTCCTAACAATGCTAATTTTTTATTTTTACCGGAAATAAGAAAACACATGAATTTTTTAAATTTTTTTTTTATATTTTCCAACGTAAAATTTTTAGGGCTATAAAAGATATATAATTTGTAACTATCTTAAGTATTTTTTTAAAATAACAAGATTTAATGAAATCACGCACTTCGCGATTTTCGTCTTTGAAGGCGTATATCTTTGGATCTGGTTGGGCTAGCACTCTAAAATTTAAATTTTATTAACATTTACAACATAAATAACTAACATGCCAAGTTTCATTCATTTTTGGGATGGTCGGCCGAAAATCTCGTTTTTTTGGTCGATTTGACGTGGAATCACCCATATGAGATATTATTGACAAGTACATTCATATCCCGCAATTCCATTTTTAATACATCTTATAACAAATTCTGGACCATCTAATAATCAATGATGTATATATATTCTACTAGATTGACGATTCATTAATTTATAATGTCCATATATGTAGGTGTTAGCTGAAGCGCCATTTTGTGGTTTCCGCTTTGATTAATGGTCTTATTTATCATTAATGAATTGCACATATGTCATTTAATTGGCATGCAAACCACAAAATGGCACTTACAGCTGATTTCTATGTATGGACATTTTTATATGCATTTAATAAATGAATCGCCAATCAAGTGGTATATACATATCATTGCTATAAATAAATAAGATATGACCAACAAAAAAATTAGAATTGTGATGAAATTAAAGTTGCCTTCGCAAACAATTTACTTCGCATCCATGAAAATCTTTATAACGAGTGGTTTTTTTCTTTAAAGAATACGCCCTTTTAATAATTTACCCTGCATTGACAGTTAGCGCGAATTCGCGGCGATAGAATTTTGCTAATATTTGCATTGCGAATTTTGACATTTTTGCCAACTTCACCGCAAATTCGCGATATTTCATTTATCGATTCAGATTTCTATTAGATTTTTAATAAATCAAATCACAGGCAAATATAGGCCCAAATTTATGAATTAATTACAGGGGGTATATTGATTAATATTGAAAATATCGATGCATCTCTGCTTTTGATTATCATATTTTTTAAAATTAATTTCAACATTTTTACCCTTCTAAAAAGGAAAATTTTTACATAAAGCATTTCCATCCATATTTACCATTTTAAACAAATATGTTCACCTTTGGGAAATTTTTCTATTAAACACATGCAGAATATGGAACAGATTCAATCCCTGATAACCGCTATTAACACTTCCTTCAACAAGCCAATTACTTCATCGGGGCCAGCCCCCCAAACCACACTGCATCCAAATTACCCTCTCTCGTCCATTCCCAACACTCCTTCACTTGCTTTTCCCGCCAATTCTTCCATCACCGATTTCAACGGGCAATTACAACAACTGCAACTCCTGCAACGCAATTTATCCCTCATGGGAAAATTAAACACGAATATAAATGCCAATACCGTTGTCAATCAAAATCAAATTTTATCGAGCCCTGCTGTATTAAAGGTTAGTTTTGGTGTGTACTATTATAAAAATAATTTTGTTTGGTTATTTTTTTGGAAAAATTTAGCTAATTGTAGTTATTTTTAGAGCCTTGCGAGATCATGTTCAATCAAATGAACATGGGCCAGATGTTTTATTCAGATCAGATTTGACCTGGCTCTCAAAAAAAATTCTGAATGGTGTCGTAATCTGATCAATTTATGCAAGGTTTTTTTTGGAATATTGTAAAATGTCAATCACAATATTATATAATGTTGATTGGTTGGAAAAATATTAATAATAATGATATTATTTTTAATTAAGAATTTTAAATCGATATAATTTTTGATTTTTACTTTTTAAAATTTTGAGAATTTTTATAAAAACATGAATATATATTTTTCCTTTTAGCTGATAAATATATTTTTTTTTCTGAAAATAAATTATTCATACAAATTCTTGTAGTATTATTTTGTTTATATTTTTTTAATTGAATTAATAAAATATAGAATCTAAAAATTTCAAGTGAGTAAATATTAGAGTTCTGTGTTAAATGGATTTTGGCAAATTTCTAAAATGAAAATTATCGGACCGAATCTTTGAAGAAAAAAAAATAGTTTGATTGGTCATGTAGATTTATTTTATTGAATCTGGTGTACCTGAAAAAATAGATTCTAGATTATTTTTTAAATAAAATTACTAAAGCCTATACAATTGCCGGCCATTACCAACGTCACCCAAAACCTGGGAATGAATAGCATCTTAAGAAACCAAAGCTCATTCAGTTTGCCTTACATTTCGAATGCCAATCATACCACCACTAATACTTTAAACATTTTGAGCCATCCAAATATTATGGCTGGCCGGGTCAAGAGCGAAATAGCAGAACCCTCTTCTCCCACTAGGTGAATAGTTGTAATAACTATATATTTTTGTACTCTGGAAATATTCGAAAGAAGTCCCATTTATTTTTAGGCCAAGCTTAGGTTTAATTTTTTTGGGAACCCAGGCTCGGCTTTGATTTTTTTTTAAATTTGGCCCAGACGATATTTTATTTGATTTATTTTAAATATGGTCATTCTAAATCATCTTGGCTCAATAAATGGTTATAAAGGAAAATATCAGATTTGAATGAATATTAATGATCAGTCACGTATTTTTCAACTTGTTAATTAATATGATTTAAATTAAAATTATGTTTTTGTTTATATCATCAAAATTTCAAGAGGAGTGGGGGTAGTTAAAATTATTTATTAGTTTATTTATTGTTTTATATTTTTAAAATGTTGATTTATTATTTTGGATTATTTTGTGAATTTGAATACACACATAAAAAAAGGAGATTTTGGTAAAAATAAAATAGGTTAGGCTCAGCATTATTATTGTGATAGAGTTCTGGAACTCACTATTAGTGTTGTTAAACGGGTCGTTTTGAGCCGATTTTTAAAAACGGCTAACATAATATTTTAGCCAGAAAAATATTGTCTAAGTCTCGAAATTTCGATATTATATATGTCTAGACCTTTGTTCTCTCTATGAACAAAATCTTCAGACTTGCATAATATTTTCCTATATAAAATATTGAGTTAGCCGTTTTTAAAAATCGGCTCAAGACGAGCCATTTACATTACTGTAATATACTTGTTTTTAATATATATAACATATACATGTTAGGATACGCTGATTATTTTAATAAATCACAACTTGACTAAATTAGATTTAACCATTTATTCGATATATGAAATTGTAAATTGTGATTTCAAAAAATTAAAAACAAAAAAGTGGTAAACAAAAGGTACAATTTTTTATTTCTTTATGTAATTAAAAATATCCATCAGAAATTTATATACTCCGATAAAAAAAATAATAGAAATTTATAATTATACAAATATATAATCATTCGATTTACCTTAACTATAATTTATAAAAAATGAATATCAGACGAAAAATATTAACTCAAAAATGAATAGTCAAACGTTAATTTAATATATTTAATATAAACTTTAGACAAAATTAGATTTCTACCCTTATCACTATACCAAATAATGATAAAAAACATTGAATATACTAATCTGAAATAAGTCAAAATATCACCCAAAAAATTGAATATTGCACAATATTATGACACCCTTTTCCTCGAAGTGCTTAGTCACTCTGGGCTGTATTCGTCGCTTTTATGTTCCTCTGTTGAACTTAATTTTGCTCAGTTAATAACGAGTTTTTGCTTACAGTGAAAGCGGATACTGTACAGTATCGTATGAGGTGATTATCACCACATGCCTAGCAGCTTATAGTCAACGGTCTTGTATGCTGATCTTTGTAATCCCTTCCTTACCTTATATGATTGTTGGCTGACTGGCGTATCATTGATTATTTTTTCATACCGATTCTTCCCTGGTATCATTATCCCAATTTCTAGATTAAGCTGAGTCGCTTATCTCACAAATTTTTATTTTCCAATCAAAAATACGAAGCCATCTAAGATTAGAATTAAAATGTATTTATATCAGAGACCTGCAGAGGTACCATTTGTACAGCTCGGCCCGGATTTTTTTTTAAAATTTTTTCGGCTCGGCCCGGATTTCTTTTTATAAATTATTTTCGGCCCAGCTCGGGTCTTTTTTTTATAAATTTTCAAGCCCGGCTCGGATTTTTTTTTAAAATATATTTAATTTATTTTTGATTTTTATAGATAATTATGGCGTTTTCAAATATTTGGTTTTAAAATATACGGCCCGACCCGGATATTTTTTAAAAATCAGGCCCTGCCCGACCCGGGTATATTTTAAAAAAATCGGCCTCTAGGTCATATACTCTCCTTATCACTTTCCTTTATCTTATTTCTGTTAACATATTGTTTCCAATTTTTTATTCCCTTATCACTTTCGTGAAGACACGTTGTTGAAAAATAACTGAAATATATTTCTCTTTTATTCATTATTTTCGCACATTCGTTTTTGAAAAACAACTGAAATATTTTTCCCTTTTATTCATTATTTTAGCGGTTAAACTCTTGGTCTTACCTGTTTAATATGTCTAGAACAGGTTCCTGATTGTTCAGTTTCTACTTCGATTTTCTTTTTTTCAATATTTTTCATCACTATTTCCCCCATATTACTGAAACATAAAACATCGCTACCGAAAATTAAATTTCTCACAACATATATGCCCTTTCTGCTTTACTCTTTCTTTAAAAAAAAACCTCTTCAATAAATCACAACTTGTTACTAAATTTTAAAAGCTAATTTAAACATTTTAATATGAAATATTCAGAAAAAAGTAGAAACAAAAATGGTTGTATAGGGTATTTTTGAATTTCTCTATATAATAAAATTATCCATCAAATTTACATACTTTAGTATATAATTAAAAATATAACAATAATAAATTGATTTACTCAAACTATAATTTATAAAAAAATGAATATCTAACGTAAAAGATTAAATCAAAATGTCAAATGATGAAATTTTGTGAAAAAAATGTTAAACGACGTTCCTTAATTTGAAAGTTCACGCGTTCCTTTTTTTTATGAACTCGAATTTTTACATTCGTTTAATTTTAGAAAATCTCATTTTTATTTATTTGAAAATAAAAAATATTAATTTTATAATAATCAATTTTTTTTATGAAAAAGGGTTATTTTTTAATCCGCTGTTTCCTTTATTACATTTGAATTTTTTTTAATCAGCCGCTATTTCTGTCCTATAATATAGTTTATTAACTTGAATATTATTATTTATAGATTAGCCTAAGCATGGATGTTTTTATTTCATCATCATCTGATTCTGAATTAACATTACCATGGCCTAAATAATAACTAACAGTAACATCATATATTCAATAAACTTAAAATGTGTCCAAAAGTATGATATCAGTTTCAAAATCTTCAAGTTTTGATCAAAGATAACATCAAGTCTAATTTAAAGATATATTTAATTGTATTATTTATTATATTATATAACATAACTATAAGTATCCTGTTAATAATTTATATTAAATTATTGTATTTCATATGCTTAAAATTATTATTATTATGATTAGTGTTGTTAAATGGCTCGTTTTAAGCCGATTTTTAAAAACGGCTAACTCAATATTTCATCCAAAATAATATTACGCAACCCTGAATATTTTATTTATAGAAGGAACAAGGGTTAAAACGAACCGCTTAACAACACTAATTATGATAATAGATTAGACATAAGAAGTAAAAATAATTAAATATTATATATTTCATAGATATAAAATACTTAATATCTTTTAGAATTTATTTTAGGGATTATATTTTAATAGTTGAACGCAATTTATTATAAATTTATATATTTTATAAATAATGAAATTTTAAAATTTTTATATATTAAAAATTAAAAATTTTAATAAATAAAAATATTTTTTATTCACTTAAAACTATTAATTTTAAACATGGCTAATATATTGTGTTAAAAAATATATGCTATTTATTTATATTAAATTAAATATTAAATGAAATTTAAAAAATCATAAAGTTTTGAACTAACGTGAACGCGTTTCTTTTGAAGGTGAACTTTGAACGCGAACGCGTTCGACTTTTTTAGAAATGCTTATAGAAATAATAATAGACATTCCATATAATATTCCGAAATAAGTCATAAGATTACCAAAAAATTGAATATTACACAATTATATGACATTATTTTTTACGCAAATAATTATTCTTATTTTTTCGTCCAACCCTTCGTAAAGAGATGAGGACGATATTAACGATGTGACAGCAATGGGGGGTATAAACATCAGTGAGGAAAAACAGAGAATTTTGGCGGGTTCTTCCGATTTCATTGGGTTTCAGATCAGATCTTGTGCCGATCAAACTTTTCTCAATTTACCTCTCCTGTCAAATAGGATAGATTCTTTGGGTTAGTGTTATTAATATTCTTTTTAATTTACGCTTTTATATTATGTTTCATGATTTATTAATCTTTGAGAGGGGGGGGGGGGTTAAATTATTTAGAAAAAAGCAATTTTAAACCTCTTATGACTAATTTCCTAGTCGTGACGTTTATTAAGTAGGTTGGGGAAAAAAATTTGGGTCTGGATTTGTAATTATCAAGTGTAATCAAAAAAAATGATTTAAAAGCATTAGTCTAATATTTGAAACAGAGACCATTACTTGGTAAAATTTTAAAAATAAGGATTTTGCATATCTTTGTCTTGGTGTTGTTAAACGGCTAACCCAATATTTTAGGCAAAAATTTTATGCAAGGCTCGGGATTTTGATTTCATCTTGAAAAATTGATTATGCCTGAGAATTATAGAAGATTTTGGCATTTTTATGTAAAATTTAATTAAAAATTTTTTCTTAATTTTTTCCAAATATGTCTTTAAATTTTTTGTTTTTACAATAAACTTCCAAAAAGAAAATCGGTTCGATTTCGTGAAAATCAAATAAGAAGAAAATTAAATTTCTTAATAGTCGCTGGGTATAAATGTCCATTTTGACAACTTTAAAAATCCCCTAAGTGTTTGAATGCATCCTTCAATACTGCTGAGTGTGAAAGAAGTCGTCATCTCATGTATATGAAATGATTGATAATCGGGCTAATAAAATAATTAATGTGTTTGATGTTCATAAACATTGACGGGCTTTGGGCAGCATATTCAATCCCTGATTCACATAAAAATATGGGTAAAAATCATTGAACTAAGTTTAATGAAATATTTTCAAAAAAAAATCTTTGTGGAAATTTTTTTAAAATTTATATCTATAAATATAATATTTTTATGAAATACATTTAACAATTATTAATATGAATAATAAAAATATTTTTTTAAAAAACTCATTTTATAAAAGTGTAATTGGGACTACAAGTTCTCAAAAAAACAAGGATAATTATATTTTAAAATAATATTTGAATTTTTTATTTTATTAAATTTTGGATTCTGATGTAAGGGTTCTTATTTTGTCGGCTATATTTTTTAAAAAATTAAAGTTTTATTTGACATATGTTCAAAGAAACAGATAACTATTGGTAAAAAAAACATAATTGTTAATTTAGAATATTTTTTTTCTTGGCTATATCAACTCGATTAGAATTTACATTTTGGAATGAAGAAACGCATGTAAATTCGCAAATTTGGAATTTACCTAAAGACCAATGTACCTAAGTTAAACATATGACATCAGGCCATCATCAATTTTTTATAAATTATCAGGATCCAGCATATTTGATATTCGAGTCTCCTAATGCCTTGCAAATCAACCTTGACTGTATATACAATTTAATTCATGCCTCCCTTTGGGATTTATGATGGAACGATACTACATTCAATTCGGTGGCCTGTGACAACTCTTAATTGTTCATCTGATGAGTGGTTTCCTAGTTTTTTGCTTGGTAATGTTTCCAACCATAACCAATAGTGCAATTAGCATTTTTTAATAGTTGTTATTTCAGGGGGGGGGGGGGGGTGTTCGATTAAAGTATTTTAAAAGGTTTTAAATTAAAGGTTCAAAAATTAATTGGTTTGTTAAAACTTGGATAAAACAGCTTCAGGTAAGGTAAAAAATTTCAAGCGGTCGAGGCCAAGTTTAGTGTTATTTGGGAGTGAAAAAGAAGATATCATCGCGTTGTGCTTCAAACATGATACCAAAAATAAAGGTAGAATATAAAGTTTAATGGATACAAATCTAAACCTTCCATTTTCCCCGGAATTGTGAGAAACCTCAGTTGAAATCCAATTTAATATTTAAAATATTTTTTAAAAAAAATCATGGAAACGTATATTTGATATTATATCAAATTTATGTCATTACTTTTAAATTCCAAATATATGATTTATTAAGATACTTTTTTTGTTTAATTTTTTTTTAAAAAAATACCTCCTTCTGTCTTTAAGCAATTATATGATTGTGTGGTGAAAATTTTTTTCCCCTATGAGTCGGGTTGCGTCGAAATTTTTTTAAAACCCTTGTAGGTCTCTACTTCTTATTAATGGAGCTACTTACATACTTTGGGTATGTTTATAAAATATATATTAAAATATTTGCTTATTTAGCCTGTTTATCGCACCTAAAATGCTAATCTGTAAACCCTTTTATTCTTGTATGATTTTCTCGGGTAAAGAAGTATATAAGTAATACAATAAGCGCCTAATTCATTTTTTAGAAATCCTGCCTTTAGACCTTTTTTTATAATTTGTATTATATTTTTATCAAAATTTAGTATGAAAAATACGTTTAGGCTGTCTAATGAAGAGGATATTTAGATTTACCGTGTATACTTAATTTATACCTAAAAAAATATATATTCTTCTTCTCCGTTTTATGGCGATTTCCAGGTTTACCCGGGTAGGCCAGTTTTCCCTCTGATTTTTCTTTTCCATTTTTGACGGTCATGAGCATCAATACTTGTAAGATTCAAGCTTCTCATATCCGCCGCTATCTTTGTCCACGTCATCTTGGGTCTTCCTCTAGGTCTTGATCCTCCTACTTCCATCATTGTGCATCTCTTTACCCAGTCATCTCTTGTCATACGTTCCACATGCCCAAACCATCTTAGTCTATTTCGTCGCATTACCATACCAATCATTTCTATACCTAATCTTGCTCGCAATTCCTTGCTAGTTTTTCTCTCTCTCAGAGATACCATACACATCCATCTAACCATCCTCATCTCTGTTCTTTCTAATTTGGCTTCGTGAATTGCTTTCATTGCCCATGTTTCACCGCCATAAACTAAACAACTCCTCACACAGCTTACGTAAACTTTCCCCTTTAACTTCAGAGAAACTTTTTTATTTGTAAGAATAGACGACATCTCTCTGAACTTCTTCCAAGCTTGTCTGATCCTTGCAACAACAGCAGAATCTACACCACCATCTGCGTTTAGCATATCACCTAAATAACAAAACTTATCCACTTTTTCTAGGGTTAACCCATTGCCAATATCCAGACCACCATTTTTTAGGTTATCATTATTATGTATCCCTTTCATGCATGTTTTACAAATAAAGGTCATTCTTTCTAACAGCAAACTGCCTTTTTTCCCACTACATCTTTTATGTACCCATTTCTGGCATCTGGTGCATTGGATAGAATTTCTAGCAACTCCTTTCCCACATATACCACAAGGCCACTTACCTGATTCTTCTATCTTTAGATTTTCCCCACCAATCATCACCTTTGTTTTTGATGCATTCATTTTCAGGCCCTTTGCTTCCATAGTCATCTTCCATTTACTAACTTTATCCCTCAATTCTCCCTCACTGTTTGCCATTAATACAAGGTCATCTGCATATAATATCTCCCAGGGAAGTCCTTCACGCATTTCTCTAGCCACCACATCCATTACTAAGATAAATAATAATGGACTCAGCACGGATCCTTGATGAAGTCCTACCTTCACCTCAAAGCTGTCACTATCACCATAATCCGTCCGTACTGCTGTTTGTGCTCCAACATACATTGCCATCACTGCGGTAACTAACCATTCCTCCACACCGGATTTTCTCAAGGCCCATCTTGTAATCTCACGCGGCACCCTATCAAATGCTTTCTCCAAATCAACAAACGCATAATAGAGTTTCTTTTCCTTCGCAAGATACTTCTCCTGAATTTGTCTCACCACAAAAATTGCATCTGTCGTGCCTTTTCCCGATGTAAAACCAAACTGCATTTCATCAATTTTGATTTGTTCCCTTATCCGCTTTTCTAACACTCTCTCAAATACTTTCATTGCATGTTCCAAGAGTTTAATAGCTCTGTAAGACCCACAATCTAAAGGATCACCTTTCCCCTTGTATACTGGGATAATTATACTTCTTCGCCAGTCCTCGGGAATAGTACCTTCTGTGACAATCTGATTTGCTAAATTCATTAACCATTCAATCCCTAAATCATCAGAACCTTTAAACATCTCTGATACCACCATCGTTAAACCCGATGCCTTCCCTTTCTTCATCTTTTTCACTGCTCTCCTTATCTCGTCCTTGCCAAATTTACACCCTAGACCTTCTACCTTTGCACAACTAATATTATTATTCCATTCATTTTCTTCATTCAAAAGTCCTTTCATGTAAATCTTCCAGGTGTTCTTAATACCACTACTATCAATCGTCATTTTTCCTTCCATATTTTTCAAACACTTTACACCTATCACATCCTGCCTCTTTTTTGACATCTGTTTTGCCATTCTAACCATATTTCCAATTCCATCAGCGCATTCCATTTCTTTAGCAAACTCGTGTCTTTTTTCTTCTTGAGCCTTCGCTATTAATTTCTTAGCATTTCTTTTAGCCATCTTGTAAATATCATTATCACTATTTTCTTTGCTATTATACCATACTTTGAAACACCTCCGTTTCTCATCCACGGCTTTCGCTACCTCCGGGCTCCACCACCAAGTCTCCTTATGTCTAGGCGGCCCTTTTGTCCATCCACATACCTCCTCAGTTGTCATTACCCAAGCTTTCTTCATGGCTTCCCACTTGTCATTCACCCCAGATGCTTGTGCCACCTCCGCCTCCCTAATCGCCAATGCCATATTGAATTGACGTCTAGCATTCTCCTCCTTCAATTTCCAAACCTTCAGCCTTGGGACAAACTTTCTTTTAGTGACCCTGGCACCTTTAAGAGTGAGATCTCCTACAACTAGTCGATGCTGATTTATACATTCCTCTCCCGGTATCACTTTCACATTTTTTATTATACATCGATCACATCTCCTTAATAACAAGTAATCCACAACACTTTTGGTACTACCCGACTTATAAGTCACCAGCTTCTCTGATTCTTTCTTAAACATTGTATTACAAACAATCATATCCATAGCCTCACTAAATTCTAAAATCCTCTCTCCTTCCAAATTTCTCATGCCGTAACTGAACCCTCCATGTACTCCTTCATAACCCTCACTACTCGCTCCCACATGTCCATTCAGATCGCCAGCCAGGATAATCCCCTCTTCATTTGCCAGTCTCGATGTCACCCCCAATAGACTGTCCCAAAATACATCTTTCTCTTCTTCACTTCTTCCAACCTGAGGAACATATGCCGAGATCATATTATATAGCTTTCTACCAATAATCATCTTGATAACCATTATCTGGTTGTCTAGCCTTCTCACTTCGACTACTTTGTCTACCTATTTCTCCGCAACCAATACCCCAACTCCAGCCTTACCATCATTACCTCCTTGCCAAAAGAATTTATACTTTTCGCTAGTCTTGCCAATCATTCTGGTCCCATTTCCTTTCCATCTAGTCTCCTGTATGCAGCACACATCTATATGTATTCTGTGCAATACATCGACGACTTCTCCCGCTCTTTCCGTCATACTCCAAACATTCCATGTCGCGACCCTAACTCGATCACCCGTAAACTGGTTTCTCCACTTTTTATCAGGTCGTTTATGGCCGTCATAGGTTTCATTTTCATGAATAGTGGTTCCACCAGGTTTCCCATCCTTCTTTTTGTCATAGGCGGATGAGGAGGCCCACGGGGTACTTTGGGCTGTACCCCGCCCATGCTTTGTTGTAACCATAGGGAAATTTTTGTAGCAAGGTTTTTACAATCGGATGCCCTTCCTGACATCAACCTCTTTAAGTGGTTTTTACACCCCGTCGAGGAGACGGTGATCCTATTCTAGACCCAGATCACAGGGAACCTTTTAGACCTCCATTTGCCGCCAAAAGACGTTGCCACTCCCCCGCCACGATAAGGCTGTAGGTAGGATTTTGGGAGAGAGCTAAAAAAATATATATAACAATTAATATTTATTTAATGTATACTTCCTTTCTTTCAAATAGGGTGTGCTAGTTCAAAATCTGTTTTCCAAAAATTTGATAAATAACACAATGAATTAGAGGTGTAATGAGCGGGGTTTAGCCCGAAGGCCCACCCAACCACTGTTTAACATTTTTAAACTAGAAACCTACTTATTGCAGACCTCTTTAATGAATGCAACAGTTATAGGGCGATCTCCTTACGACTTGAAAATAAAAATCCCATATATAATCACGATTATATTTTATATATTTTTATCGATTATCCAGTTCGCTCAAAAGGTTTGGCCTCCTTCGAGCCGGACGTGGCTAGGATTGTATCCCACGCGATAGAGAATAGATTTAAGATGATATTGTCCAAGCTTTCTATCATAGCTGATCACAGGAAGGATATTTATAAAGTTAAGATTTAATGAAGCCCATAAAATTAAAATTACAAATTTTTGTTTTTTAGTTTTCTTTTTTGAAATTCAATTTTGTTTCTCAGCATTAACATTTATTTTATATTTTTTTCAAGATGGATAATAGATACGAGACAGTGTCAGACGTTAAAGCTCAATTCAAATTTCTGGAGGAAATAGATCACTTAGAAAAAAAACGCAAGGACGAACAAGAGAAAGAAATTTTGTTCCGTTTAGCTAAAGTAATTAAATTCTTTTAGAAATTTTTTAGTTATGATATAGTTGGGTATTGTCTAAATGTTGGCTAACTTGGCTCAATCTCAGGCACATGCCGTAGAAAATTTTTTTTAAGGCGTTTAATTCATAATAGATTTTTTCAAATATGAGCTGCTATATTTTTAAGAAGAACCCTGCAAAGGAGGTTTAGCCGATTTTTTAAACGGCTAAAAATTTGCTTAAGCGACAAAAATATATTAATTACCCAACTTTTCCACAGATTTATTTACTAACTAAATTTCTGAATTTTATAAAATAATATTGAATATTAACTATTATAAATGATGATTAGTTTGACTTATTGAATTTTTCTTTTAATAATTTAGCGTGCCAAGCATGAAGACCCCGAACAATTGAAATTGAAACAAAAGGTCAAGGAGGTAATAATAAAGATTTTTAATTGAAACATAAAATATCTAAATTATACTTGAAATAAAAATTGAAATCTTGATGATTGATTTTTTTAAACAAAAATAAAATAAGATGCAAATCGCTCAAATGGAAGAAACTAGGCAGATGGAGGCAAATTTAACTGCTTTAGCTGCCATAGGCCCACGGAAGAAGAAAATTCTAACCAACTCTGTTCTCAACAATTCAGATGACGGTACATCTAATTTCAACGATATCAAAGGGTTAAGCCATGGAACCGGAACTTTAAATACATCAAGCAATGTAAATTTATTTTAATTCGTGTTTTTAATCTTGATTATGAATATATATTGATGGACTATGCGTGTATTTATAAATTTAATGTATTTTACTATTTTTAAAAATTAAACATTATTTATATTTATATATTTTTTTAGTTAAAAAATAGAAATAAGCGAGTAACTTTGAAAGATTTTATCTTATACCTCGAACAAGAAAAGGATACATGCAGATCTACCCTCCTTTACAAATGTTATTTGCGTTAATTTATTTTGAATTTTGACCAATATTATATAAGATGTATTATTTTTTTATCTTTAGTAATTAATATATGGATTTAACACTGTTATATAATTTATATTATTATTATAAATAAAAGTTTGATACAACATATCTTTTTAAAAACGTATATAATTTTTTTTATATTTTATGTTTACTTATTCTTAAAATACTATGCTCATATTTGCTGATGAGTTTAATAAAATAGAAAAAAAATTGATATAAATTTTGATACACTAAAATATAAATCATTTGTTATCAACATATTTTCATAAACATTTACGCAAAATCAAGTAGTATTAAAAAGAATTGTTAACAAGAAAGTCAGTGTTTGGCCGGTGGCGTGTTCAGATCTCTTCCAGAAAATCTGTTTTTAAGATCTTGTTATCAAAATTTCCGCCAAATAGAGTTAAAAATTCCTGAATCCTATTTTGGTTTTATGGTTTTGAATCTATTTTATTAAACCCTTTATCTTCAGTTTTAAATTATTTTAATGAGCTAATAAAAAAATGAATTTTATTACATTTTAAAATAATCATTCTTTAATTGAAAAAAAACATTCTCCCATCACTTGTGATTACGATCCATTGTAATTATAATCGCATATATAAATCCGTGAAATGAGATAAAATTCTTATAAAACTTATGGGTATAAATCGTTTAGTCTGACTTTTAAACGTTTGCAATTGCTTTCCATATTATCCTTTTAAAATATAATTTCAAAAATTTCCTGCAATTGAACTCTGTTATGAACTTTAACAGAGTCGAATCTTGAACCTAAATATTTAAATCTTGAACACGTATATTTCTTTTTAGAAACCTAGCAGAAATGATATATAAAAAGATTCGACAGAATACAGGCAGGGTCAAGTAGTGACGCTTTTTTTATAATCACCAGTATAATAAATGATATAGTGAAAGCTAAATATAATTTATGCTAAAATAAAAATAATTAATGAAGCGATATCCTCTAGTTTCCATTTAAAAGTATTAAAATAATTATATATATCTTCATTTATTTTATTAATCAAGTTGAAGTTATGTAGTAAGAAAGACTGCACAATAAATAAATATATTAATTAAATATAAATGATATAATTATTTTTATTCTTTAAGACAGATGATTTTAAAGTGGCAATAAAAAATTTTCACGCTTTAATACTAAAAATTTTTACCCGACCTGCCAGCTCACGAAAGACAATATTTTGATCAAGATTAGAAATTCAGGGTGTTATTAAATTTTTCCGAACTTTATTGTTTTGCTTTTTTGAATTAATTCTATAATAGTTTTTATTTCTCTAATTCTATATAACATAAATCAGTCTTGTTAAGGAGCGGCACTCCGGAGTGCCGCTACATTTTTTCAAAAAAAGCTGGAGCGCCCCTCCTTTTTAAAAATGAGGAGCGGGAGCGGGAGTAGCTCCTTTTAGGGCTGGAATTAAATTTAATATATAAATTATATTATTTTTTAAATATTAATAATATTTGTTAATTAAAATTTAATGAAAATAAAATTTTATTTTATTTAAATTTATTCATTATTAAATGTTGAGCCGAGTTTTATATTGATTTTTCATCTATCATTTGAAACATTAAACATCAGTTTTTCCTTTTTATATTGAAAATTTTTTGAAAAATCTTGTAAGTCATATTAATATTCATTTTATAGATATATAATAAAAAATAGTTTTAGATATTATGGATTTATTAGAGATTATAGAAGAAGAAACAAATAATATATTGGATAGATATTTTTTAAATAATGATAGCAAAATTACTATTTTTGAACAATTCCATGAATTAAAAAATATTTATATTAAATACAATACCCCGCTTCCCTCTAGTGCTCCTGTGGAGCGTTTAGTATCGCAAAACAGGTCTTAGGGGAGAAGCGTGGGTGTTTGTTAGATTCTAATTTAGAAAATTTATTACTTTTAAAAGCTAATAAAAGATTATAAATATTTTGATATATCATATAATATAAATAAAACGTTTTGATAAAAAAATATGATTTTGTTTCGTGTACCTTCTAAAAAAATGAAAATCAAAGGAGCGGTTATGGAGCGGCACTCCATTAGTTGGAGCGGGAGCGCTCCTTTTAATATGTAGTAGCGAGAGCGGGAGTTCGCTCCTTTTGAGAAGGTAGGAGCGGGAGCGGGAGTCGCTACTTTTAAAAAGGAGCGTTAACAAGACTGACATAAATAATTACAATTTTTGAATTTTTTTTTATTACGAATTAGAAAAAGAAATCATAATAAAAAGACAATATTGAGCATAAATAATAAAACAAAATAAATAAAAGCGGAACCAGCATAATTATTCAAAATCCTCTTCCTCCAATCATCAGGAGAGATCGAACTATAATTAGCCTTAATAATAGCTATTGCTATCCTCTACCTTAAGTAAAAGCCTTTGCGAGGTTCTCCAGAATATCTGATTAGGCTGCCAACGTCTTTAAAAAACTTTTTTGCCAAATCATCATATGTTGTCAAAGTGGAGCAGATGATTGGTATGAATATGTAATTAGAAGAATCAGCACTGCATTTGGTGATAGTAAAATATTGACCTCCGTTCAGAGCGTCCTTATGTCCAAACAAGAAAAATCCCAATAAACTTTCCTTGTGACCATGGAATTAGTGTAACACAATCGCCTACCATTGGGAATGACCATTGCACCTCGAGTGCCGGGATTACGATTGCAATGTAAAGGATGAAGCGTCATATTATCATCATCATGACATTTGCTGCATTTATATGGTAATTAAAAGGGAATGTTGAGCCTGTTACATAGAGCATAGCTGAGCTCGTATTGTCCAATTCAAGTTTAAGATTGCTAAATGGATTAACATATAAAAATTCATATCAAGACTCGAAATAAGGTAATCGAATTTTATTTAGAAAAAGAGTAATATCTATGTTGTCATATTTCAATTGTGTTCGCCATTCTTCTAATAAGAAGATTAATTGTACATTTCACTATAAGAGCTTGCTGGGTTTAACAAAATTTTATTAGCTAATTTTCTCAAAAAAGGAAATGAATTTTCCTGCTCCCAAAACTTCAAAATATTGTCATTTTTATGAGCGATGAATCTTTTAAGTTCATTCTCACAACTTTTATCGGTAGATGTTGATGCTTCATCATAATCGCCTGAAATTCTCTTAATGTTTCACTTGGAATACGTGATTTTTATGTGTAAGAAGAATTAGATACTTATGCATATCTAATTTTATTCATTTAGCATTTTAAGGTTTAATATATATATATCTTCTTTTTCTTCATCTATTAAAAACCTAAGACTTGAAATTCGGATCTAGAATTAAGCCTAGCTTATGTAGTGGCAGCATAATAAATCATTCCTGTAAAAGAATGTCCTGTTTTTAGGGTTTTGATTATCATTGTATCATCTTCAGTGCGTTGACGAAATTTTACTAATTTGTTTACATAAATGGACTTCATTTAATGTTTAGCGAGAATCGCTCTCATATTAGAGCATTCTTCTAATATTGGTAAAAATTTTAGTAAAGATAAATGAGGGACAATTTTCCTTATAATTTCCCAGATTAATGGTTTTTTTAAATGTCAAAACCAAGCATAGTTCTGTTGAGATATGTAATATAAAACTTATTCACGTGGAAGTTGTAGATAATATTTGACACATATATGAACCATAGATAGCATAAATATTTTAGAAAATACATATTTTCTCAAAATGAATATTTATAAATATAAATTAATAAAAGAGAATATATTGTGAAAATAATCAGATCTGCACACCGGATTTTTAATAAAAATTTCGGCTCAGTTTTTATATATTCAGACCCAGCATGGATTAAAATATATTATATTTTTATAGCTAATAATGACGAATTAAAATGCGGCCCGGGTACCCGGACTTGCAGGTCTCTAATAATATTAGGAAAATGTGTTCCATAATAAATCCCACTTTACCTGTAAGTCTTTTTAACCTTATATCTTTATTGCGAATTGCTAGCTTCTAAACATTTTCCATGTCACTAAATATTTTAATGATAAATATAGAAATCTAATTAGAGAATGTTCACCTTAATTTTTATTCTTATTATAAAAATCGACTTCAAATACTTTTTTCGAAAAAATTTTGTGAGTATATTTTATATTTATATTCAATTGCTTTTTTTTGAAGTGTATTTGCAGTTGCTTATATTCAAATACAGATTTTTGAAAATTAGCCCAACCCTCCTTACAGTTACAGGCTTGCTTTGGATATGAAATATCTGTCATGAATTTGCACTTATTCAGATCGTAATATTTTGATTTTCAAATTTTTTCGGGAGGATCGTTTCATTAATCATTATTAGATGATTTATAGGTCGTTTTTAAATTCAACTTCCATAAAATGTTCTTAAAAAGGAGGTCTTCTCCCAATATTATATTATTGAATTCCCTCAATGAATTTTGAAATTTGTAAATATTTTGAAAAAATGTGATTAAATAGTGTGTGAAGCATATAATTTCCCGGGACTTTTTTGAAAAAAAATTTATGCTGAACATAACTTTTATTACCTTTTTGAGTGTGCAAATCGGGCATGAAAAAAATACTCAAGTGTAAATTTCGTCATTGGTTTTGGTTTTACAAATATATTTTTTTAATAAAAAATGGAGAAATTAAAAAAATAATTTCCATTTCAAATCTTTAGTTTAGTAACTTTGTCGAGTATTATTTTTTACTGTGAAATTTTAAGCCGTTTTGATTGCTTTAAAACCTAGTCGAATAAAGTATTTAAAATGCCGTTTATTTTACTGAAAGAAATTGCCAAAATGTCTTTTACGGTAATTAAAAATATCCACTTAAGTTAATTTAGTTGCTTATGCAAATTAGAAAACTGATCTTAGAATGACTACAATAAGTAGTGACCCATATAAACTATATTTTGGACGAAACCCAAGAGCTATGTAATAGTTTCTGCTAAAAACTAGGTTTAACAGAATTTGATTAGATCATACCAACTAGTAGTGAACCTAAAAATAGTACTTTGATAAAAAAAATAATCAAATTATTACATGATACTTATATAATTTTAAAATGAAAAGAAAGCTTAAAATTTAGCATAATATATTCAAAATAACTGATTAAAAAGGACTATTATATATCTAAAAAAAGGTAAACTTTAGATAATATCCAAAAGTATTCGAAGGATGGGGGAGGGGATGCGAATAAAGTTGTTGTCACTAGTTCTAAAACATTCTAATGATACACAATAAGAATTTTTAGTAAAATAATTTGGTAAATAAATTTATTATATATAGTAATGGTATAATATATAATCGAAATGGGTAAACAAAATAATGCATTAGTTGTGTCATAAATTTAATATTCATATTATTAAAAAAGTTATTTTTAATATCAAATTAAGTCTAAAAAAACATAAGGAAAAAAAAGTTTAAATAAATCTTTATACATAATATAAGAAAAATTTATGGGAGGGAAGAGATATAATAAAACGATGAAAAATAATTTTTAAGAAATTCATGAAATCATTTTTCTAAACGCACTGATGAATACATGTAAATAAATGTGGTCAATATATTTAATGACATTTAATCACACGTTAAAAAAAGCGGAGAAATTATGAATAAAAACAAACAAAAATTGTAATTTCATATTCGGGGAATAAAGAGTTAGGATGCAATGTAAGTAAATTTTCTCCTTCAAAATTGTGTTGTGAAAGGGAAATAGAATGTTTTTTCAGGTAAGGATGCGACCTTTTTTAAGTGGTTCGAGTGAATATGGAGTCTTGATCTTTTTCATCACTGAAAAGGGTTCATTTGTTGGTGGTGCCACTGATTAATAATAAAAAAATTATAAATCGTACAAAAGTAGGCTAAATTATGGTTAGAGATGTACGATTTCAGATTTTCGATTCTAATATATGTAAAACTGAATATTAGGATCAGTTATTCTTACAGATTTTATTGGGTTTTAAAACCGGTTCCTTATATATAACAATTCGGTAACTCACTGAATCACGGGGAAATTTTTAACATTATTTTTTTTTTTAAATTTAAAAATTTTTTTTATTGTTTGGTCTGGTAGAATGAAGTCATATTTTAATTTTAACAATTTAGCTATAAATTGTCTAATTTGGTATTTTAATAATTTGAGCAATACAATTTTATAAAATTATAATGACTGAAAACAATATTATATATAAGAATATCAATTAAATTATATTTAATTTTATGGGTCATTCAATTTCAACAATTTTAAACCTAACGATGCCCAAATTAAACAAGTGCTTACTTTTAAATCTAAAAATAACTATTTCTTTTTTGAAATGTTAACCTTTTTCCATAAAATTTTTTTTATTCTAATAAGTTGATTAATTATTTAGTATTTGATTTAATAGTCCTTACTATTTTATTGTTTGTAATTTATGCGATACAATTTTAATAAAATTATAATAACTGAAAACAATATTATATATATGAGTATCAATTAAATTATATTTAATTTTATGGGTCATTCAATTTCAAAGATTTCAAACCCAACAATGCCCCAAATTAAACAAGTGCTTACTTATATTTTATAAATCTAAAAATAACTATTTCTTCTCTGAAATATCAACCTTTTTCACAAAAAAAAAATTATTCTAAAAAATTGATTAATAATTTAGTATTTGATTTAATAGTCATAACTTAATAGCTTCATAGAACACGCCTTGTTTTTATTGTGAAATTATGAAAATTTTCACAAGTTTTTTTAAATTTTTAAATATACTCCGTTTATTTATTTATTATTTTATATAAAAAAAATAATATCAAAAATTTCCCCGTATTCAGTGAGTAACCAACTGTTTAATAGTACAGAAAATTCTTATATATTCTCCTTTTAAATATATAATTTAATACATGCATACTAACTCTCTCTATAATTACGATTATGTAAATATTTAAGCATCTCATAAAAAATTCCCTCCAAAACAATATTCTTGAAGTTGTGGTTTATGGCTATAATCTTTATATTTATCATTTGACTAATTTGTTGCAATTTGTGATTGACTTTTAAATACTGAATTTTATTGAATTAAAATCAATATGAATGGTTAAATTTTTTAATAGCACCTTTAAAAATGATCCAATACCATACTGAAACACAGGTATTAGTGTTACTAGTTAATGGACAATCTGGTTCTTCTCTTTTTTTTACTATTGAATTCCGAATTGTTAATTCCTTAGGACATATTTTATATTTAAATTATTTTAATATCTACGTTTAAAAACCTAAAAAAGGAACATGTGCAAATTGAAATATGCAATTCAGACCTGAAGCCTGGCAAAAATATCTGGTCAGGCCAGGCATGTGAAAGATATCTTTGGACCAGAGTAATTTTTCATTCTTTTTAAGCTTAAAATTAGGCCAATCATTGTAGTATTCTTTCATAAAATATTGACTAATTAGCGTAAATAAATCTTTTCAGAAATGCCCATGGGTAGGTTCTGGCCCATCTTCAAATCTAATTATAAAGCTGTGTCCTACAAATAAGAATTTAAAGGTTATTTTTCATATGAGCCCTATCTAAATTTTAAAAAATCTAAACTTTAGTTAAATTAATTTTAGAAATCAGTTGATTCTTAAAATAATGTCAACTTCATGTATCGTGCATCTCTATTATAATGATAAAGCATGATAATTTGGAGCGAAAAAAAACTAAAAAAAAATTTCAGGTAAAGATACAACCTAGTTCTTTAAGCGAATGCATAGGCTCACTCTTTTTAGTCGTCGAAAAGGACACATTTATTGATGGTGAAGGGGTTACTAAGTAATAAAAAATTTAATTTAGATAAAGGTAGACTGACTTTATTTTAATTAAAAATATGAAAAGGAACATATTGTACAAAAATGATATAGAAAATATTCTTTACAAATTGCAAATAAAAGAAGACTATCGATTTTTATTTTAAACACTAGTTGGTAAACTTCGTACTCTAAAGTTTTGGCCCCCAATCACATATATATTTTTTTCTCTTACTAGAATCCGAATTGTCCGATGATGATGGCGCTAAAAAAGCCTTGACACCATCGCCATCCTTGACAGAATTTTCGTTGATTTGGTCGAAATCTCCAGCATCTTGATTAGCGGGATAGTGAATCACATTCACAGGACCTAATTTTTATGTGTTGTTTTTTTTTCTTATCTTATATTCATCTTTGATTTTATATGTATAGTGAATTGATATTTACTCTCTATTCATTTCTAGTATTATAAATTTTAAAACGCGTATAAAGGCCTTATGTATTTATCAGGGACCTGCAGGCCTGGCCTAATTTTTTTTAAAATATATCTGGGCCGGGCCTGAAATTTTTTTAAAAAAATATCCGGACCAGGCTGGGCTATATATTTTAATACCAAATATTTGAAATCGCTATTATTAGTTATAAAAATCAAAATTAAATATAACATTTTTTTAAAAAATCCGGGCCAGGCCTGAAAATTTTTTATTTTAAAAAAACTGGGCTGGGCCGAAAAAAATGTTGAAAAAAAATCCAAACCAGGCCAGAATATTTTTTAAAAATCCTGAGCCAGGTCTTTTTTTTAAATGGTATTTATGCAGGTCCCTGGTATTATAATAGGAACGTGTAATAAATAAATTTTGTAATTACCATTTTGATTGTTAATATCTTCTCTGCCTTTACTCCCACCTATGTCCTCTAATGGATTAAATTGTGTCCCAACATCCAATTTCATGTCAAAATTTCCGGCTACTGGCAATGAGTTATTCTTATTGTTAGAGGCTACTGGGGTAAAGTAAGGGTGAGACATCGCTTCCCGAGCTGTGAGTCTCTTTGCATGGTCGTATATGAGAACCCGATCAAGGAAGTCTAGTGCTTCAGGTGAAACCAGGTGAGAATTTTCTGTATGAACGAATCTTTCCCAACGCTTTTTAGAGTGTCTTATAATGGAACGAGTTGGGAAGATTTAAGATTAAGGAATGTATGATTGCAAGAGAATTTAAGGCACAAATAAAAAGGTTCAAGGAAGAAGTAGTGACATATGGTTGAGAGGAGTAAATAAATGAAAGATAGTGACACCTGATAAGAGAGAATCAATGTAATTAATAACTAATACTATATAATTTAATAAATGATTAAAATTTGTGCCTATTATAAATTCTTCACATTAACTACTAAGCTATTTTCTAGCATATGATGTATTTGCCAATAAACAGATTATTATGAATATATAAAAAAAATAAGGTAAAATAAATTTACCTCCCCAATTTCTCGTTGAACCTAGGACTCAATTGAATTTCGTATTTGTCCAGATAATCGTATAGTTCTTCTGTCCCTAGAACTTTAGCTATTCTAACAAGCTTTAACATAATATTTATGAGACATAAAAATAATATCTCTGATTAATTATACTGTCATATTTAGATATAAAAATTAACCATCAAGAAATGGTGGTAAGCTAATTATGTGAAAGGCGCTCACTCATAAATAAGATTTTACAAAATTGATGGATAGTACATGTCATATTGGAAGGTTATGCAAATAAAGATTTAATAAAATTTGATATGCAAAAATCGTTAGTAGATAGTTTAATATATTATATATTGATTTGTATATATAACATTTGTTTTAATTTTAACAACCATTGTTATGCAAATTCATGGTTATTATATATCAGAGTTGTTAAAGGATCTAGATACTCTAGATATAAAAATGTGGTATCTGTATCTAGATAGATTTTTGATTAAATAATCTGTATCTAGATATTATTTTACACGTTGTATCTGTATCTAGATCCATTTAAAAAGTATCTTTTAACAACTCTGTTATATATAGTGTAAAACAAAATTCAATTTTAGGTTCTCTTCTGCTTTATTTCTTTTGCAATTTCAATTGAGCAAAAGATAGTATGTATTATTAAATGCAAAACCCAACAAATGGGTTCTCTGAGCTTCTATTACTGCTTATAAGCTAGCAATTATAATAACTGTAATGAATGAATAGTGGTATGGTTTGAAATAAAATGGAAAAGGTGCCAAATCAGGGTTGTGTTATATTAAGTGGATGATTTCTTGATGTAGTTGTTATATAGATGCCAGGTAGCACTGTTGATTAAGTAAGTGGCTTCTTTGGTGTTAAAAAGCCCAATTCATGTTGATTTTAAAAATTAACCAATCAAGATTTTAGCCAAAATAATATTAAGTAATAGAGAATTGTAGTTGTCTAACCCTTTCTCTCATCTATGAGCAAATCCAGGCTTACGTAATTATGAATAAAATCTTAATTGGGTCGTTTTAAAAATATACCTAAATCAGGATTTGAACACCCTTAGTTGTAAGTTATATATTGCTATAGATTTAAGGCCTTAAAAGTAATTATTTAAGAAATAGTGAGAACTAGGTTAATTCAAAAGAGAAACTACTGTTTCCTATATAAAATATTCATGGAAACTTATGCCCATATCACTGATTTATATTGCAACAATTTACTATAGTAAAAATTATTTATCTATATAAAAAAAGCCCAAAATTATATTAATTTTATTTTTTGATTTGTTAGTTTACAAATTATTTAATATTATTGATTTAAATTAACTATCTTGTGAAAAAGAATTGGAATAACAAAAATAATTAATAAATGAGAAATTTAAGAATTAAAAAAATAATAATAAAATTTTGGATTGTTATTGTTTGGCAAAGTATTGCCTTTGGTATTAGTGCATCCCTTAAAATAATATAAATCAGGGATCAGTAGGCTTAAAGTCAGCTTTTATTAAATTGGAATGATGCTGGAAGAAAAATGAACAAACTAGTCTGGGCTAATGGAAAGGTAAGCAGTCTCAATTTTTAAAATTATGTTGCCAAATATTGGCCAATAAAATTGCTTCAATAAATTATTGCATGGACTTAAGTGGGGCTTATTTTTGAAAATATTTTTTTAATGGGCTGTACATGCACTTAACAATAATAACACTTATTATTTGCATTTTATTTAACATTTCAATATAATTAATAGCATAACTTTTGTCCTTATATGAATTCTAACCATGTTTATCTATGATGATATACTAATGGTTTAAAATTGGTGTTGTTTTGGGATTATTAAGGTCGATTTGTCATGAGCTTCATAATATTTTTTATATCACTTTTTTATTTTTTGGAAGTTTCTAAAATTTTGTGTAACACTTCTGACACTTACACTCCATCATTGGCACTAATTGAATGTAACTTTAACACTGCAAAAGTTGTGTTAAGTCTAAACATTCATGTTTATTATTAAAATTTTGAAAACCAAAGTTAAAATATATTAAAAAATGTATATTTTATAAGATAATTTATTTAGTAAATTCTAAATTTTCATGATTTTTATTGATAACAGCAATTTTCAATTATAATTATAGTATATAGCTTTTATTTAAGATAATATCTAGGAAATTTTTCTAACATTTAATTTAAGGCTACTATTTTGAAAAGTAATATAACAAGTTGTGACCATTTTTTTGCAAACAAATAGTTTGTGTAACTATTTCCCACAGAGTAACATAAAAATAATGACAAGAGGTCACCAGGGAAAAAAAGCCCAGTGTATGAGCAAAGCAAAAATAGCTTAGAGCCAGATGAAAATTTTTTAAATGATAATCAGGCAAATTTATGTCATTCCCTTTCATGAAAAAATTATTACAGGCAGGGGCAGATAACTAAAAAATAATTTTTATCCAGTGATGGTAAAAATAATTATGAGGTATAGGCTATTTAGTTGTGACAGTTTATATCAATCTCTAACCAAAATGCTATACCTTCTAAGTAACATTTAAGCACTCAATATAAGCAATAAAAATTAAAACTTGGTCATCATTATCATGCCCATGGAAGAAAGGTTCTTTACGAAATATCATACTGGCTAGCATGCATCCCAAACTCCATAAGTCTAAGGAATAGTCATATTGCTTGAAATATTTGTTATGTTAACATTTATATTCAGGTTTTGATTTTTTAAATTATAAATGTAGGGTGTGTATTATTTAGAAAAAAAATAAACTTCTAATCAATTTTTAAGATACCCCTTATTAGATATGACTACTAATCAGTCACATAGTATATTTTCTAGCCTAACTTAAAGGTAAATATTATTTTGGCATGGAAATTTTAATAGTGCCTTATAAGTAACATTCCTTTTATGTAAAAATCATTTATTTAATATAAATTCTTATGCGAGTATTTAATGTTAACTTTTTCCAATATTTCAAAATTGACATTTTTCATAATTTTTAATTAGATTTTAACCTTTATCATATAAGGTTTGCATGATCTTAAAAAATTCCTAAACATATATTCACACAAAATGTATTTAACAAACAATTTTTATTAGCATGGAGACATAGTGTACAATAGAATTTCACACATTTTATAAGTGTAATGCCTTTGCTTAGTAGATTTATTCACCTTTGTCGAGCATCTTTCCTTCTGGGAAATGTTTGATTTTTGCAAATATATGTTGATGGTACAAAAGATGTAAGCCCCCTTCTTTTTTTTATCTAAGTAAAAATATAATATATGAATAAATAAAAATAACCTAATAAATTTTATGCACAACAATATTGCTGGGCGCTCATAAATCTAGTTCTGTTATTGGTCTTCTTCCAGAATATTTTCCTACTCAGAATGTACAGCTCAAACTTATAGGCAAATCCAAAAAAGCAAAGAATGAAGAATTGAAGCCCCATTTGTGAGGCTTCATTGGCATATATTGTTTTAAATGTATATGATCAATTGAATTTGTTCATTGATTGATAAGTATTCCCCTTTAGGAATTATACGAAACCTATTTTGAAAGTGATTCACACTTGAGAATACTTTTATAAGCCTATTATGGTCATTGACCCTTTGATATAAAATTATTAAAATGAAGAATGGATCAAATGCTTTGCAATTTTCTGATAGTCATAGTCTTTTTTATAAGGTCATTGCCAATTACATCCTTCCATTAGTCTTTTATGAATGGTAACTGGACAATTGACATGAGAATATGTATATTTCTTAACCATTATAGTAATATTTATGAGTTCTTTAATATTTGGTTGATTCAAGAACTGTATAGTTGTGGGTTTAAGCTAAACAATACCTTTAAATCAAAATTATAAGCTATATTTTGACAATTACTATAACTCAATACATCTTTTGATATTTAGCAAACATAATAAATCGATTATATCTTTAACTTTTTAAGTATATTTATAAGTGTAAACAAGTCTTGGTACAGTAAGAAAGAATAGAATCCCAAATTGCAAATTTCCCACGGAGATCAAAATAAAAAAAAGAGATCAAAAGGTCATCCTTTAAATACATGGGAAATATTGAAGGAGTATATATATATCTATAATAGTAATGAAATGGTGACTTTTTATCAGCATTATATGGGAAATTATCTAAGGGTGATATTGAACATGAGCACAAAACCAAAAAAAATGAATAGAGCATTATGGGAAGAGTTGATTTATTAGACAGCAATATTGGTTGGTCATAATATAACCAGATCCAAAAAGTGGTATATAAGATTTCCAACCCCCCTTGTAAATTCATGGTTATTATATCATTTCAATGTGTGAAAGCCAAAAAGATGGCAATTCGAGGTTTTCTATTTCAGAACATTGCCAATAAACAACCTCAAGAATGTGTCAAGTTGAAGCTACAATTGAATTGAAATGCAGACCTACTTTTTGTTAAAAATTTATTAGGCGATTATTTATTTATTAGTATATAATATTTCTCTTAGCTACCTTTTTTTTTACTAACAGATATTCATAAGGATCTATTCCTAAAGTGGATGACAATTTGATAAAAATGCAAATATCCACTATTTAAAGTAATAACACATGTGTTAATGAGATTCAATGCAAATGCCTTATTTTATTTCATACAAATACATAAAATACAATAAATTGTTTGTTAAATTACATTTTATGACTTATAAGTAGCATACATTATTAGGATCAAAATAAAATAAAAATTTGATCAATTATTAATTGATATACCAAAGGGACAAATGGAATAACTGGAAACTTTTTCAGGGTGCCAACATTATATGGCAAAGGGTTATAAATCAGAAATGCATCGATAGCTCTTTTTTTATTGATATCCATATGATCATGGCCAAAACTGATATCAATTATTTAAAAAAAATTTGTTAAGTAAAAAATGTTAAAATTTTTTCCCAGTCTCCATTTCCATAAAACATATATTTTGATTATAAATTAAGCCATAAAAAGGTCATTTAATATTAAAGAAACTTGCCATACTAATTTGTTCTTTTATGTTTATTATTTGTAATAAAGATAATTTTGCAACAAAATTTTAAGAATGATAAGAAATAGGAATAAAATATAAACTTTTTCTTTTATTCTTATAGAAAAAAAATTTTGTAGGACAAATAAAATTTTTAATTTATGAATGTTAATTATAATTTTGGGTATTGGTATGGTAAATATGTAAGTTGGAATTAAATTAAGGAATTAAATATGTTATCAAAAGTATTTTAATAATTAAATTTATAATATTAACCAAACATAATAAATTAAATGATTTATATATATTAAATTAAAACTTTGGTGTTTTATATACCTGATAATCAACTAATAACTCTGGACCTTTAAAATATCTAGATGCAACTCTAACATTATATTCTTGCCCAGGATGATAAAATTCAGCCAGGCCCCAATCTATTAGCCTTAGCTAGATTATATATAAATATATACAATAAGGTATTATATAATATTTCATAAAAATAAATTAAAAATAATTAACAAAATATACCTCTCTTTTCTCATGGTCAATCATAACATTATGAGGTTTAACATCTCTGTGCATTATTCCCTGACTATGGCAATAATCCAAGCTCTAAAATAAATTATATTAAAATTAAATGATCTGTTGAATATTGTTTACTTTCAAGACTTCATATAGATAATATCTGATATCAAAATCAGTTAAAGTTTGATATAATTGCTAAATATTTTAATAAATTTTTAAATATTTAATTAAATTTTAACTTTAAAATCAGTGTTGTTGATATATTCAAATATTAGTGCTGGGGTCCGTGACTATAAGAAATTAATTTAAGCTACAAAATTTATATATTAAATACCACTGGATCTTTAACAACATCTTTGAGATCTATTATATTAATGCCACCACGTAAATTTTCGAGTATTTTTATTTCCCGTTTAATTTTCTTCTTTTTCACTGGCTAAAAGAGAGTAAACTGAAATCATTTGATATCATACTTTTAATATTTTAACGACACATTTTTCATTGTTGGTAATGTTGACGGCCTCAAAAACTTCGCTGTATTTCCCCCTACCTAATTTTTGAACTAATTCGTAATTGTCTTGTTGTCTGAATACAAAGTGAATAATTAAAATATATTATAAAAAATTACCCCCACGTTATGACATGCGTTTCATAATCCCAATATTCTCTGGGTTTATGAACGTTGATATCTTCATAAACTCTAGCTCGACTAGGTAAGGGCATTATGCTTTATGTAAAATATGGCCTTGTTATTTTTATATTTACAAATATTTATTTTTCAAACGATCCATGATTTCATTATAAATAATAAGAGATAGTGTTTGAGGCGTATGATAAAACGAATCAAATTTTTTATAACTCATCCATTTAAACTTTATTAATTTATATATTTAATTTGAACACAAAAAATGATCTCATCTAATTTTCAAAGTTTTATTTAATAATATTATAAACTACACAAATATTTATTTGAAAGATTATTTATATTTATGTAGTTTCTAAACTTAAGGACCCTAAAAAAGACGAAGAAATGATAGATTTATAGGAATTTTTTTAAATTTATTTATATATTTTTTGCATTTCTCTAGATATCGGTTGTATATTGTGACTAAAATATTATTTAATTAAAGATTTTATAAAAATTCCTATTAAAAAAATTAGATTCTAAATATATCATATTTTTTGATAATATAAAATAAAAATCGCCCCCCCCCCATTTTTAAGTAATGCACCTTAGTGCCGATACTATTTGTGGTTAAGAGTAGTGTTGTTAAGCGGCCCTACTTCGATCAATCTTAAAACGGTATGATTAAGATTTTAGCCAATGTAATATTATGTAAACCTAGGTGGCAGATTGGCGTGAACCTCTATTTGCCATATCTCGAGGTTTATATAATATTATTTAGGTTAAAATCTTTATCTGACTGTTTTTTAAACCGACCCGGACCGCTTAATAACACACCATTTAAAAGGGACTTAGGCTGATGATTAAGCATGATGTTAAGAGAACTATCTTTTAAATGTATTTACAATATCAAAAACATCAGCATCAAAAATATATTATTTCTAAAGTTTGTATGATAAAATATATCTCGTGAGATTTGAATAGCTCCGTTAAATATACCAAGGTTATAAAAATAAAAATATGAAAATTAAATAAAGAATAGCACAAAGGTTGTAAAATAGGTTAAGAAGTTAATTATTCAAAATATATATTTCTATATAAAAATAAAGAATAACACAAAGGTTATGATATAAGTTAAGATGTTAAATATTCAAAATATATATTTCTGTATAAAAATAAAAAAATAACACAAAGATTAATAATTTGTAGTTAAATATTCAAAATATATATTTCTGTTATCTAACATAGTAGGCACAACTAAAAATTAAGTTGCGATAATACCTACCTTCAAAAATAATTTTGCAATGTAAATGAATATGAAGCATTTTTAATAACACATCAATACATTAAGAAATAATAAATTTAGTAGGATTATAAAAAATTACCTGTAGCAAAAAGGTCATTTGTTAACAAAATGATTGTAAAGGATGGTGACGCCCTTGTCTCATTATACATAATAGAACTACAGTACCATATATAATAACCTAGAAAATGATGATTTTTTTTTGTGAAATGTCAAAATTTAATTTTACATATGACATGAAGCTGGAAGTTTTGAATCACCTCAAAAATGTAATGTTAGATAGAAACACATTATCATTCCATTATATCTTTTTGAAATATAATATGATAATTCCTTTAGATCTAGTTGGTTTTGTCATCTAAACCGGTGAAGGCTTAATGATAATTATTTGAAAATTTGATTATCTATATTGTAACTTTTCGCCCTCTCTACGTTACGTAATTGTGACTGTCCTCACTAAGTAATGTAATATTTTGCATAATGTTGTAAATGTTTGTTTTTATTTCTCATTCCTGCTCAATAAAAGTGGCTAATGAAATACACTAATTTATAGTATGAAGTAGTGTTGTTAAAAAGTTCGATTTGTATAGATTTTAAAGCAGGTCAGATGAGCTTTTAACCAAAATAATATTAAGTTGGTCTATGTATTTTGCTCAGATATAGCAAAAGTTTCGTAAATCTCAAGTTTTATACAATATTATTTTGCTTACTTAATCTTTGTAAAATGTTCTTCTATTTATATATAATTAATGAATATGACAAGGCGTCCATAGAAGCAAGAGAAATATTTTCCGTTAAAATTTTCTTAAAATATTCTTATATAAAATTTATATAAACTTTATACTATGTTAAAAATGTTAATACTGTGGTTTAAAATAATGAATATTCTTTTTACTATATTATATTTTTTATTAAGTAATAAATAATTAAATTATTTTTACTACATTATAAAAAATATATATGGGGGCATATTTAATATTGCCTATTTTTTAAGATAAATAAAAGTAAAAGTAAAAAATCATGCTCATACGATATAGATTTTCTGTAATTTTTTTTAATTACGATAAAAAAATATAACATTTGAGAATCAAAGATACAATTATATATTTTTTTAATAAATATGAGAAAATCATGCAAGTGTATTTTGTAATTTAACGTTTAAAAAATTAATGTTGGGGAAGCAAATAAAAAACTTATCTTTTTTATTAAATAAAAGAAGAACAAAATTTTTTTATATTATATTTTTGACTCTTCTTTTATAAATAAAACCTCCCTTTTAAAATAATGAATTTATTTTCAAGAAAATTTATTATGAAAAATTTTATTATTGAAAAAGGAAGACCAAATCTAATTCAAAACTTGAAAAAAGAAGTCAATCCTTGCATTCGTAATTTTTCTATAGATAAATAAAAAAATATGAGGGGCTCACTGGATATGAATTTTCTTATCCTCTATCTTGGTGGTCATGCCAATTATTTCCAAGGAAAAAAAATATTTGGAATGATAAAGAAGGATTTTCAGGTATAAAAAATATTTTGAGAGTTTAACAGCATGAAGAATCTGCTGCTTATTTGCACTCAAAAATTTAATTAAAATCATTTGGCAAATCTTAAAATATGATAGATTCAATGCGCTAAATATCAATCGAAATTTTATTCAAAACCAAAGACGAATTCTGATTATTTATAAATCTTAATTTTTGTATGGTTTATGTAAATTGCTTCCGAAATAAACTTCAGGCTTCGTCAGTGATAAATTATAATAATTAGAATATATAACTCTATAAAAATATAAAATAATATCATATCACTATTTTAAGTTCCCAAAATAATAAATCACTATTCAATTAGACTTTTTTAGTCTTATGATTTCGTGATGAACATACGACAATATTTAAAAATTATAGTGTTAAATCAATAGTTTCTCTCACCTCTACAAGATTCTTTCTCCCTGCTTTATGAAGTTGTGATAAAACTATTCTTTCTCGCAACTGAGCAGCATATGTCTTGATATTTCTATATTAGTGTTGGTAAATGGTTCGTTTTGAGCCGATTTTTAAAAATGGCTAATTCAGTGCCAGAAAAATATTGCCTAAGCCTCGAGATTCCGCCAATTATTGATGTCTGGAACTTTGTGCCATCTATGAGCTAAATATTGAGTTAGCCGTTTTTACACTAGAATCATCCTTTCCGTTACCCTACTGTAATTTCGTTCTGTATTCAAATCGGTTGCAAATCTTTAAAATCTCTTAAATTTATATCGTGATTTATTTTTTATAGATTTTGTGAACTTTCTATTTTATTATGGGAATCAACACAATCAAAACTCTTTTCATCATCATCTTATCAGAATATCAAGCAGTGTTACAGTTTACTCATGTGATATATATCCAAAAGATCTCTTAAGGAATTTCCAGAATGTTCTCCAAATATCGCATAGTGCTATATCTTTCCTTGAGTTTACAAATTGTTCTTTCAACTTGTCCATTCCGCTTTGAATAATAAGCTGTTGAGGGTGATATTTTTTGATTGGTGAAACAGATATGTTTGCGGCCACGACCGCGGGTTGTTCTACCGGGGGATAGAGAGAGGGATCGGCAGAATTCGAGGGACCGGGATTTTCTGGTAGGTTGACGTTGAGTTTTAACTTAGTCATCATCGGGTAATTTTAGTAATTTAATTTATTGTTAAAATAGCACAATTTAAAAAAGAATAAAACTTTAAGAATTTTATTTAACACAAAAAATATTCAGTAAAATAATTAAAAAAAGAATCCCCAATCAAGGTTTTTTTGCAACCTTTTATAATTTATCAAACAAAGAAGAAAAAAAATAACATGTTGTTATATAATATCGCGATACAATCATAACCAGTTTCAAGTACAATATAAAAATAAGGTATAATATCAATATAAAAAAAAAGGACGATGGGAAAACAGAAGAAACAAGTGGAGAAAAACTTAAAGAAATAAGTTATACGGGACAAGATGGGTTGGGGAGGTAGAACATAACAGAAACACCTCAAATTCTCGGTATTATTTACGTTGTATAATATACAGTTTGCCTTGATACCTCAAATATTGAAAAATTTAACTTCAAATTTCTAATTAGTTTGTAAGCAGTCATAATCTCCAAACGGTCTACCTCCGTCCATTTTGAATAGGAATCAACTAGAATAAACCAATAACAAGAACCCTATGGCCCTACCAAGTCTATATGTAATCCTTTTCACGGTTCTTGACTTCATACATTCCAAAAAAAATGCACTTCTGCTATATAAGTCTGCAGGGGCATCGCTAGCCTTTAATATCAGGGGGCTCAACTAAAAAAAATTTATGAAGCTTTGCCCCCATGCCCCCCAATTTGCGGGCCTTCGGCCAGCTTTAGCCCGGGTTTTATAATAATATATTATACTTTTTTTAAATTTGTTAACTCTGAACAATTATTCTGAATTTTAATTTTCTCATTTATTATATTATGCATACAAAATAAACTGGCATATAAATAATTAAAACAATACAAAACATTTCTAAAAATAAAATATTTTAATACAAAATCTATTTATTACAGTATAAAATATTTTCAATTTGCTGATATAAAAAAATTTGCGTCTAAAGAATTACAAGTGATAAAAAAGATTTATTATTTCATATATATACCTCAATTGATAATAGTTTTTAAAACCACATAATGAAATAATATAATTATTAGCAACTTACATTGACAAAAGGTTATCAAACTAATATAACTCTCTGTTATCATTTTACACATTTATAGAATGGACTAATAAGGAAAAATTTATAGGCCTAAACCAAATCAACAATTCTTGATGAAGAGAGTATAAACGACCAATCCAAATCATAAAACTATTAAGTGGTTAGAGCTTCCTTTTAGATGACATGATGGTAGCTAGATAAGTAGTCGAGAAAATTATTATGAGATATTAAATTTCTAAAAGATTATCATCCATTTTAAATGATATATAATATATAAACGACTGCACAGTTGACCATTATTGTTTATCTAAAATATGCAATCATATGCTCTCAGCCATTGTAGTAATAATCTTAAATTACATAGCACTGGTTAATTTGCAGTAATAGCCAAGAAACTCATATCAGAATTTATTATATTGGATAAATTGATAAAATAAAATTACTAAAAATCTTAGGAAGAAATAATTGTGCATATATTAAAGCCTCGAGTAATGTACACGGCTAGGATGCCATATTAGAAATGAAACATTTTGGAACTATAAAATAAGGATCAGAATGACATGATGAAACAATTAAGATTTTATATATTGTCGCACCACCTCTAGTTGGTATATTATATCTTAAAATAATAGTAGTTTGTAAAAATATCTAAAATATACTTGTATTAAAAATTTAACTCAAAACTGTTTTTTGAAAAAGAAAAAAATAGCTTTCCTAACGTAAAAAAGAAAAGAAAAGATATCAAATTTATTACATCTATTATTGTAGGATGAATAATAAAATGTTTAATTTTTAAAATTATTTATAACTAAATAGATGGCATAAAATACTTGAAAGCAAATTGTTACTATATTTATTATCAAAAGCATTTATTAGTAAAATTCATTATAAGCTGTAATATATTATAACTGTCAAATACGTCTATAAAAGTGGCATTTTATCTAATATTTTATAAACAACTGTATGTAACAGAGGATTATAAACTATATGTCCACTTACTTTTTATTATACTTATTTGAGACCTTGCTTGAAAATATTTTTAGGAAAAGGTATGATAATAAAATTTAAAATAAATATACGGTTGATTAGTCATGTTGAACTCTGCTAATTACAATATTAAATTTTTTAGTTTTCAATTAATAAATGATTATATTTATTTAATTAGTGTTATAAAATAATTTAAATAATAATAATAGTCAATTAAACTTCAACTGTTAATGCTAAATTAATATTTAGTGCGTGGTGATATTGATATTCTATTTTTAACACAAAATTTGATTGCTTGCTGACAGTGAAAATAAATATTTAGATAGTCTTATTAATTTTTAAATAATAAATTTAAATCTATATTTTACTTAATAGAATTTTAAAAGAAATCTTTCAGGGGGCAATCAAAAAAATTTATTTTTACTTCAAGGGTTTCAGATTCCATTTAAAAAAAATTTTTTTGCTTCAGGGGCTAAAGCGGGCTTGGGTTAAAAATTTTTTATAAATAATGAGTGGGCGGGTAAAAAATTTTAGACTAATGGGCGGCCGGGCGGGTAAAGAATTTTAAACAAATGGGCTTTTTTTTGAAAACTATGGGCTGGCTGGGCGGGCGGGTTAAAATTTTTATAAAACATTGGATGAGCGGGCTTTTGGTCCAAACCCCCCAATGCAGACCTCTTGTCTGGATCACCGAAATCTCTTTCCAATGACTTCCTTTTCGGTGCCATATGCCTATTAGCAAGGAAAAAATACTAAATTTTTTTTTGCTTTCGCACCATTCTCAATCAATATAATTTACAAAGATGTTGACAACAAATTTAAATATACATTCGGTTATTTAATCAGCAACCAATAATTTTTAATTTCTAAAAAATTGATGATTCCTGATTCTAATGGCTATTATTTTGATAAGATGGTCAAGTTTATAATATTGCATAGAAGTTAAGAAAATTAAAGAAGATGTAAAAATATTAATTACAGGAGTTTCAATTTTTGCTTGATAAAAATATTAGTAATATAGCAATATAAAACAAATGAGAGAAAAGGTAAATGGGCTAAAACCAAAATGAGTGAATTTTAATTTATATTGCACATCTTAACTTTCTCAAGTTAAATTTTGGGCGTGCATTGCTTTTGAATCAATTTATTTATTTATTTTTAAAAAATTTGTACAGTTTTATATTTTTATAAATTTGCAAATATTCTTTAATTACTTGATGCATATTGACAAAAGCTTTTAATTTAATATATACTAAAAATGTTATAAAATGAATTTCTTTTGAATTAGCACCTATTATAATTTTTTAAAATCATTTCTAAATTAACGAAAGAATTATAAATTAGGCTTAAACTTTAGTCCTTAATATAGAAGAGCTAGAAAATTTTTTAAGTTTTGGAGTTATAATTTGAGATTCTTAATAGCCTTTTCCAAGAAATTATCTTCAGCTATATTTTATTATGCAACCATCAAAGTTATGGTAAAAGACCATTTTCTTTATTCCATTAAAAAGACCCAATGATATCTATCAGATCTTGACTGATGAATGAATTACGCCCAAGATTTATTATTCATGGTTTGGATATACATGGTGACAATTTTCCAAAAATATTCTCACCTAATCCCTTGCCTTATTTTTTTATATCATAAGGAAATTCCTAAATGCATTAATTCATTTTTTTTCTAGCATAATTTTAAATTCAACTGTAATAATTTTTGTTTTTACTATTGTTATCTTAACATTTTGGGTAATTCTGTTATTCTTTTTATGTTCACATTTTATTCTATGTATTTTAAAATTTTACTAAACATAAATATTTCACAACAGATGGGTGTAAACATCATCTTTACAAAATTTACAATTTTGTTGTTGCTCACATATATAAATCAATAGTCATGATAGCATCCAATACATTTAATCTTAAGTATTAAAAACTTTTAACTAGGCTAAATAAATTTAAAAAAAATTTATTATATTTTTCTCATAGTAAAACTTGATAGCAGTGCCAATTTATAACTAGACCCAAATGTTTTAGAACATCTTTCTAGAATCAAAAAAACTTTTAATTAATTTTAAAACCTAGTTTTAAAAATTTTTCATAATTTGTTTTTCCTTGTGGGCTAAAATTTAATGTCAGTGCCAATTATTAGTAGACCCAGAGATTTAAGAACATTTTTCTAGTAACTAAAGCTTTAAACTAAGCTTAAAATATAGTTTAAAAATGGTAACAGATTAAATCATGGGAAAATTTTCATATATTATTTTTTTTTTTTAATATTTATTTTTATTTATTTTTTTTTAATATTTATTTTTTTTTAAAATTTTTTATTTATTTTTTTTAGATTGTCTGGATTTTGGTAGAAATTTTTGAATTTGGCGTATTTTTAGATTTTTTTTTTGATAAATAAATATCGTGTGGAGTATTGAACGTTGCTGGAGGGATCTTAAGGCAAGCATCCCAAGAAATGGAAAAAAATCTTTTTCTCATTTATATTTATGTGAATATTCTTATTTCCGTAATATTAAAAATAGGTCTAATATAAATAAATTCATTAAATTTTTAAATGATATAAATTTATATAGAACTATTTTTGTTTTTCCTTAAAAATATATATATCTATATTATCATTGTATATATGTTATGTTTATTCAAATAAATTGATTAATTATTTAGTATAAATATTTTTATTAAATTCTTAAATATACTCTGTTTTTCTAAATTCTTAAATATACTTTTTTTTCTAAATTCTTAAATATACTCTTTTTTTCTAAATTCTTAAATATACTCTTTTTTTCTAAATCTAAATTCTTAAATATACTCTTATTTCTAAATTCTTAAATATACTCTTTTTTTCTAAATTCTTAAATATACTCTTTTTTTCTAACTTAAATATACTCTTTTTTTCTAAATTCTTAAATATACTTAAGATTTTTTTTAAATTTAAAAAAAATAATAAATAAAAAAATATATTTTAAAAAAAATAAACAAAAAAAAAATATTAAAAAAAAATAAATAAAAAAAAATAATATATAAAAATTTCCCCAAAAATTTCCCCATGATTTAATCTGATACCTTAAAAATTTATCATAATTTTTTCCTTGTGGGTTAAAATTTTATCAATGCCAATTTAATAATAGACCTAATGGTTTTAGAACTTTTTTCAAGTATCAAAAACTTTTAATTAGGCATAAAACATAGTTTTGAAAAAATTTGCTTTTATTACTAGAACCAAATATTTTAAAACATCTTTATAATATCAAAAACTCTAAATCCGGATTAAAACAAACTAGTTTTATTTTCTATATTATTTTGTTACCCATCGAACATACCCATCGGCAGACCAACCATCGGACTGACCAGCAGACTGATCAGGCCCCCCTTGCAAGCCGATATATTAGGGCTCATGAATCCCATTGGGTTGAGTAGAGTCTGCTCTATGGCTAAATGGGTTGGCTCGGGTTTAAGATCGTTTTTTTTCTACTTCAAACCTTGCTGGGTTTTCGGGGAGCCGATCCCACCCATCAATTAAACAACACTAGATAATCAAACAAATTTTAGAGTAAAATATTTGTCAAATACCTTCTATATCAGAGAAAATTCCAGATCCATATGGCAAAATATGGATAAAGAATCATATTAAAAAATGCAACCCAGAGAAAAAGAAGAAATACGATGTATAGATACGGTGGTATTAAATTTATGATATTATTTTTAAAATATAATATAAATAGAAAATTTATTCATATTCGCAATAAAAAAATCAAATTTATATCTATCGTATTTTTTGTGAATATAAAAAAAATATAGCCCCCCCCCCCCCCCCCCCGACTAATTTTTAGGCAATGCATCACTCTGATACTATATTAAATCATCATTTAAACCATTTTTAGAATATATTAACACCTTTAAATAATGTTATGTTTTCCCACTTCAAGAAAACTTCGACCGAGATGATGACAAATCTAATCCGCCATCTATATTAACCTTATAAAATTTGTTATTCATTTATGATTCCCACTTCAAAATCAAAATTTAAATTATATATTATACTAAATGGTGTGGTGCCTATATCATAATGGCAACAAGCGAAATAACAAATTTTTCTCATTATTGGCTTTATCATCAATATCACTTATTTGGGTTATTTGCACACTAAAATATTTTCCATACAGGTTAATTTTTTATTTACCATATTTTAATATATATACTTGTGAATGTGATTCTATTTTAAAGTATTATTTGATTATTATGATTGAGCCATATATTATAAATGTAATAAAATTTTCAATATGCTGTCCTTAAAGGACAAATTAATTTTTCCACACATATATGCTTGTGCCATATTTTTTATTTTAAATATTTTTATCAAAATAATTATTTTATAGTTCTGGTAAAAAGACTGATTTGGGTCGATTTAAAAAAAACAGCCTGATAAAGATTATAGCCAAAATAACATTATGAATCCTAAAGATTTTGCTCATAGCTGAATGCTAGGACATCTCGATGCTCACATACTATTATTTAGCTAAAATCTTAATTGGGCCATTTTGAAAAATTGATCCAAATTGGACTTTTTAACAACATAAGTATTTTATCTAACAATATCCTAAAAATGTGATTGGTGATTTCCAAAGCTGCCTACACTTTTATTTAATTAAAATAAATATTATATAAAAAATTAGATACTATTATTTGCTTTTATTGTCTTATATTATTGTAATTCAAGCTTCATATGTTATACTTAAACTCTATTATACTGAGTTTAGAATACACCTCTAATTTATTGTTAATACTAAGAACCCTAAATTTAAATTACACTGATCTTAATAGGAACTATTGGTTCATCCCTATAAAATATGATAAATATATAAGTGTAGATATTCCTTAGTTTGTTAATCTTGCTGCTTTGTTCAAACTTATATGTTGGGACTAACTTCAAACATGTTAATCTTTTTAATTGGATTTGTTTTGACTTCTTTTTTTCCAAATGAATTTGCATGATAGCCACCTAATTTATAAAAAGCAGATGATTAACAAGAATAATTTAACTTTATATGTATTTATTATGCTAGCCTGTTATACCGGCCACAGTTTTTCATGCTAGATATTATTTTACATTGCCTGGTATATTTATAAATTTATATTCATATATTATTTTTAGTTAAAATTACATTGATTTATTACTTATTAAATTTAAAATCACTGAGGCCCATTTCACTATTAATTTAGTATAAATTTTATCATAATACAATCCCTTCTTGAATTTATTTTGTTTTATTATAATCCAATTATCTAGCTATTTATCTCTTCTATTTTCTCAAATTATCTTGTTCCAATTTAATTTTCACTCTCTCAAACACATGCATTTTTCCATCCAGGAAAAGAGGAAAAATAAAATAAAAATAAATTAAACTTACCCCCTACTCCATAGAAAATTTGAAGTTAAGAATATTATAAATTGATTAATAAATCTATAAATTTATCCTAATGAGAACATAAAATTATTGGAAAGGATATATAAATTAATAATAAAGACTTTAATAAAAAAAATTCCCAGAATTTTGTGATATTCCTGGAAAGGATAAAATAGATAATAAAGTTGAATTTATCATTATGGACCATTTTATGACGAGTAGAAAATTTATATTTCAAAATGAATTGGAATTAGTGTTGTTAAACGGCTCGGTTTTTAAAAGCGGCTAATCCAATATTTTATCCAGGAATATTTCACAAGTCTGGAGATTTTGCTAATAGGTGGCAGAAAAGTTTTGACATCTAACGAAATTTCGTGGCTTGCGTAATATATATTGACTAAAATATTCAGTTAGCGTTTTTAAAAATTGAGCCGTTTAATAACGCTAATCTGAATTGTAGTTTTAGAGTTATTCACATTTAAAGTTATTAGTCAATCATGTCTACGTTAGTTCGTTATTGAAACCAAAAAGTTTACATATTTTTATCAATGGCCTCATAATTTTTCTTAGGTTAGGGCCCTTGCATCTGACTAATGGTCAGCCTAGACTGGCTCATGGAAAATTTTTGAAAAGGGTTTTTGGCATGATCATAAAAATTTTTGTACAAGTTATCCACGTCTACCCAGCCTGTAATAATTTTTTATGAAGGGGCATTAACTTTTCTAGAAAATTTCTCACCTAGTCTAAAAAAATTTGCACTAATTGTCTGGCTCGACTCAGTCTAATTTTTTTTGTGGTTAAGTTTTTGGACCGGGCCATAGCCATCTCTACTTTCAACTTTATACTTATTTTATTTTTTTCGTATATAATATATTTATCAAGCCACTATTCAAGTAAAAAATATATGATGCATCAAATTTAAAATGAATGCATATACACAAAGTTATGCAATTAATATAATTAAATTTATATTGAGAATTATTATTTATTAAAATGATATTAATTTATTAAATTTTAAAAGATATTTTTCAATGTTTTGAAATTTTTGCAAAAATATTTATTATTATATCCTGTTTGAGCGATTTGTAAATACTTTATCATATAATTAATTGGTCTTATATTATTGCATTTTAATACAATTGGAGAGTTGTTTCCAAAATCTCTATATATTGACTGGCGTCGTATATATCATTACCCATATAAATTGATAATGTATGCTTGTTTAGAGGTACAGTTGTGCAATAGCGAAATACATTTTGCAAAAGCTACCACTTCAAACTAAACTATTAGCTTGCATTGCATTTTGAGGTATTTTGAAATATAGCTTTGAACGGTTTCACTTTTTTCTTTTCTTTTCAAATGTCAAATTCATAATTTTTTAAAATTTAAATTCATAATTCTAATAAATTGATAATAGTTGAAAATATAGTTAATTGGTTTTTTAATATTCGTTTCGTATAAAAACGAATATTATTCGATTTATATATATAATTTAATTTTATCCATATTTTATAAAATAAATAAATTTTTTTAAAAAAAAATACATATATTACTAAAATTCAGCTATTATCCTTAAAATTGTAAACAATAAACAAGCCTTTTATCACATGGAAACGTTCTTATATAGCGCCATCTATTTTTTATACAGTTATCGAGATATTTTTGATATAAAAATAGTAAACGAATTAATTGGGAAAAATTTGAAAAATTGGAGCTCCTGCTCATTTTGAAATGTTAATTTAAAACTCTCTACTGGCCATATTCATTTTGAATATTTTCCTCATAATTATCACATATTGACCTAGCTTTTAATTGTAAAGTAGTTATTTAACATTGGAATATGTTTTAGAAAAAGCTACCTATAATCCCTATTATCACCGGTATAATTGCTAATAAGCAAAATTTTCTTTTTTAAAAATTGAAAGAGCTTGGGCTGTGAGGTGATTGGCTTGACATCGAATGATCAAATATTACCTTCTTACGCAGTAGAGCGACTATTTTCATTGATGGGCTTGGTTAAAAATCTTCCTCACAGATGGCGTTTACATATAAAACTTTAAAAAAAAAATAGATTTGCCATCATTAAATGAACATTAATTTTTTTTCCATGAGTATATTTGGATATATTAGGATAAACACCTCAGTCATATTTTATATATATTTAATATATTTTTTTAAAACTAATTGTATTTTATACAAGTTACTAGCATAACGAATTGTATTTTACGTATGATTTAAAAAAAATGCAGATAAATTTCCAGAGTATCTTACTCAACTCTGTTTATAGGGAAATACTATTATGTATAAATGTTAGGGTTACGTATCTTAGGTTTAAAAAAAATAGTAAATCATTACGGTTCAATTCTGGTTATCAATTAGCTGATTTTACATATAATTTATTAACATTTAAAAAATTTATGATTCAATATTTAATTTTTTAAATTTTAGTTTCAATAATATTATTAGTTTGTTTTCATCTTATATTAAATTACAGGCTCATGAGAGTAAAATATTTTTTTTATATGTAATATTTAAAATCATAATCAATAATAGGCCTTATTTGGTGGGAGATAAAAATTAAAAAAAAAAAAACTACTACAAAACGATATAGTTTCAATTTAACTGAGTGGTGTTTGTTTTTTAAAAAAATATAAGATTTAAAACGGTTAATGATGCTTACTACCAAAGGCAATACCGAGCAAATCGTGATTTTACAATTTTTATATACTGCCAGATACCAAAATTTATTAAAATGTAAAAAGACCCTTATCATTTAACATATATTATAATGGAATCACGTGGTCGAGTCCGACCTATATATTATCCCCCAAGGACGGAACCACCAAGCTAGATTAAGAAAAAAAATATGATAATTGCTGGGATTCGAACCCATTACCATCAGATTGGTAAGCAACGCTCTTGCCGACTAGGCCATAGACGCTTTCCAAAAATCACGATTTTTCAAATATATTCTAAATATATTTAGTAGTGCCTATCCAAATGAAAAATAAACAAAATACAAATTTGATAGATAATACCTTAAGGTAGTAAGCTTCATTAACCATTTAAAATACTAGTCACGAAATTTGATATTCTTATGAAACCATTAAAGGTTTAGGGTTTGATGAATATGTATTTAATTTTGACTGGCTTAATAAAATAAGAAAATAAAGTTAATTTTGTAAGGTGCCAAAGGTTTTGTTTAACAAATCGGTATTTTTGATTTTTTTTGCTTGCCATGCTGTCAAATTATGAAATTTTTTAAATATAAACTGTTGTTTGTGATAAATTATATTTAAATGTTTATATGTTTACTGTTCTGAGGCGATATTTTCATATTATAATATGTTCAATTAATTTTAAAAGTTTTATATTTTTACTGTTCTGAGGCGATATTTGTTATATGGAAAAAAGATACAATTTACTTTTTTAGACATTATTTTTGACCTTAATATTAACAAGAGACCAAAATTTCCTATATTTAATTCAATAATATCAATAATTTATATATTCAGACTTTGATATTTATTTTGCAAATTCTTTATAAATATAAAATCACTACCAACCTTGTTAATTCTATTCTATCAAATCGAATCCAATTCTACCATTTTGAACCCTCCCCAATCCTTACACTAACCCACATCTCTAACATTTTTTATCCTATCTCTAAACCCTTACATGCTTGTGGAGGTTTTTGTTAAAAAAAAAACAAACTTCTAATCAATCCATTAGGACTCGTTTCGAGATGTATGTCTCTAAGCCTTCACCCAATTTAAAAAAGTAGCAATATATGTTGCAGTGACGATAATGCTCCTATCTTACGAATCGAATCGAATGTTTCACATGTTATTCAAATAATATTCATGACGAATAATTTAAAAACTTTTTATAACATCGCAGTGGAAAATACAAAGATACCGCTTATTTTATAATTCGCCACATATTCGCGTTAACCATGAATGAGGGGTTAGACTGACTTTTAAATATCTTGATTTTAAATTGCGATTCAAAAATTAATTACATCTAAATACATTTAAAAAAAATTCCCAATTCTTAATATTTTTTGAATTTTATGATTCTACCATCTTTATCGCTATTATTTTTTCCTTCCGGTTTATTAAATAGATATAGAAGTATAATTGTAAAATATTTTGAAGCTGAAATGATGCCAAATTTTTGAAAGCACTAGTTCTAAAGCTTCAATCCATTCGGGTAATACCAAAACTAAGAAAATTTCTATAAAATTATATAAAATAATAAAATATGAGACCCGATATCTTTGACTGCGATATGACGCTTTTATAATTTAGTAGCGATACCATAAAAATATAAACAAAATAGACTTGTGGCATCTTTGGAAAGTGCGAAACCAATAGATTGTGGATTGGTTACGGTGAAAATGGAAAACGATTGCAAATAGATGTTCTTTAACCTTCATTTGCGCAAGATGAGCTATCGTTTATTAAAAGGAATACTAACTATGATTGCGCTTTTACATTTAGATATAGAAAAGGCCAAACTTAGATCCCATGTTCTCATACGATATAACTTCGATGAGAAGATTTTATCAATTTAAAATGAAAGCAAATTTAATGGTAAAAGTTTTTACCCAGCCAGGTTGGAATTTATTGCACGGCCACGGCCCCTTTGGCATTTAAAAATCCAGAAATATATACTATGAAAAAATAAGTAATAATGATGAGGGCCTGACCCATTTATTTTTTTGCTCAGTCCAAATATTTTTTCAAGACGATACTTGGCCCAGCTGGGCATTGCAAATCTCTAATCTATATAATTGTTAAAGCATTACGAAGACACAAAATTTTACCTAGGTAGTATTGTTCAAACGGTTTGTTTTGAGTCGATTCTTAAAAACGGTTAACTCAATATTTTATCTAAAAGTTTTTTTACGCAAACATTAAGATTTTGTTTCATGGATGACCCAAAGATTTGAACAACTATTAACGAAATCTCGAGAATTAGGCTATATTATTTCTAGCTAAAATATTGAGTTAACCGTTTTTAAAAATCGGCCCAAAGCAAGCAGTTTACCAGCTGTGCTAAAGATGTTCTGACGGAACACTAGTTGCAGGAGATGCCAAATACTTACATGCAAGGTTTACCTTAGTTGGAAAACCTTTGAGCTCAATAATCAATAAAAGCGATTGGGGATAGAATATGGATATCCTAATCAAATTTAAATTCACATGATTTGTATTTACTATAAGTTCTTTCTTAATTAAAACAATGGAATAAACTATACACAAATAAATGCACAAAAAATTAGGATAATTTTCTTTATATTAGTTTATTAAATATACTTTACACATTTTATCGTTAAAAAAATTTAAAAAAATTAAAAAAAAACATTAGACATTTTATTTTATAGAAGCGTTATGACGAGAAAGGGAAATTAGTTCAAAAATAAAAAATATAAAAATATGCATAAAATCGGTAATTTTTCCTAAGAATTCAATATCGGCACCGAATCAGCACTGATCCTATATTTAATATCTGTACAGCCCTAATATTTTCCATTACAGGAGGGGGGGGGTGTTCACCTCAAATTCTTTTTGACACCACTGAACGTGGGGCAGGTTAAAATTTTTATTAGCTAAAATGATATTTACAAAAACTCGTAATTTGACGAAGGGGGATTTCCCCTGGCTATACCTATGACTTACAATCTAAGCTTTGTAATTTAGATAATTAAGCTAGTCAATCACTTCATATTCTGAAAAAGTTAAAAGTACGACAAAAGGCATAATTTGCGTAATTTTGCGCCCAAAGATAGGCGGATGTCAAAAGTTTATACAAAATAAATTTACATTTCATTATTTAAAATTCGAAATTTTATTTAACTATTCGAATAGCACCCGGGATATTGAATATTAAAATGAAATTATTCGAATACGAATAATGATCGGATAACAAAAATATTATTCGTATATCAAATATTCAGAGCAATAATGAAAATACCGATTCGTTCAACACTACCTTAGGCACACTTTTAGCATAAACCAGAAATAAACATTTCCCCCTTTTCGACCTCAATTTCAATTTTTTTAAAAAGAAGGTTATCTAACCAGTCATTCATTTGAATGTGTAGTACAAATCAGCTGGTGGCATGCCATTTTTTTACGAAACCTTTATCAGAGTATAATATATAATTAAAAAACAAATGTAAGAAAAACCAAGATGGCTATCACCAGTTGATTTGTATTCAATGGCCGCTTCAAAATAAATAAATGCGTCTGTCTAGTTGAGTATATGTCATTGGTTACATCTCAGAAAACTTATAATGAGTCATTTAATGGTTCGGCTATTCAGATCCGGGATTTTTTCTTGATGTTTCGCTATAAGGTTTTAATCGTAAAAAAATAAAATCTATAAAAAAATTTTATTCGTGATGTGACAATAAAAGGTATATATAACAAAAAACGAACATATATTTATGTATTTATTTATACAAATGATAATAGGAAATTTGGCTACTCTGCTCAAGAAGAAATTGAGTATTCGTTTCTCAAAAACATTCGAAGTTTCGGTAACAATGACACCAAAATAATATTGTTATACACTGAAATATACTACCAAGATTGGAACCTGCCTTCCGGTAATAATCCGATTTATTGTCTCGAGTCAAGTTTGACATAAAGTTAGGAAGGAAGGATCGCTTAATTAGTGAAAAATCCTTGCTATTTATAAGAAAAGGCAGAAATGAGCGAAGGAAAGAAATAGAGAAGGAAAGGGATAAAAAACAGGGAAAATATTAATCGATTGCTTAATAAAAAAAACATTAAAATTTTTAGCTACTTGGACATAATATTATTTTCAAAAAAAATATTTGATCATTTTTTAAATGTTATTTGTGTAATAAATTTTTTTAATATCGCATCGGCAAATTGCCAGATATTTTAGTTTTTGTTTGGCATTATACAATGGGAGGAAGTTGTATGGTAAATCCTTTTATATTTTTTAGGCACGTGCTAAGTCTCATCCTGTCTGAAAATAGTCATATTGAAAAATCTAACTTAAAAATAATAAAAAATGTCCATAATTTGATTAGTCGAATTATAAAGAAAATAAAAAAAATTTCAAACTTATTCCTAATCGATACCTGTGCAGTGGCATATCCAGGATTTTATTTCGGAACCCGTCCAAAAATGTCAGTGGGCTTCGCCCTAAGACCTCCCAATACTGACCAGTACCTCTTTGGGTGGGGATCTATATCACTTTTTAAATCTTTTATTTCATAACTATTTAAAAAACATTTTGATAGTTAAATAAATTCATTATCACTTTTACACCTGGGTTTAGGTGAAGTTTATCTTAGCTCTCAATTATATTATATTCAAATCAACGATACTAAATATTTGATTCTAATATACTTTTTTATTTATTTATTATGGGTTTTTATAGTCACGATGAGATACCAAGGCTCACAGTAGGGAAAATCGGGGTATGTTTGGGACAAAGGCACCTTGGACTACTCCAATTTAATTTCAAGTTTTTATCACATAAGAAGTAGAAATGTATACCTTTAATTTGGCATACATAGAATAACAAAAAATAAATGCAAACTTTATTGTTTAGAATTTATAAATGAAGCATATAAAATCTCAATGAATAGATTTTAGGAAAGTTTTTAAATCCTATTTTTCAATTTGGCAATTCCTTTAAAAATTTATTAGAAACGTTTAACATTTGCTCAAAAATCTCCAAGATTTTACTCTTAATGAAAATCAAAAAAATTGAAGATTTTGGCATAAAAAAAATTTTGAGCATGTTCGAAGAGGATTTTTGAGCAAAATAAATTAAAAATGAATTAGCAAAATTTTTAATGGCATTTTATAATATGAGAGGGCATGTTGATATTTGGCTTTTGAAAATAAAAAGTACCCCCATTTAAATTTTACGAAGCAGTTGTTTCGACTCCCCCCCCCCCCCCCGCCCTCACCCCATAATAAAGCACCTACTTTATATACCGGAGGAAATCATGTACCAATCTTTTAATTGTTAGAATTAAAAAATGTTGGCTATATAATGATTTTAAACAGAATTCTTAAAAATCAATGTGTTAAAGAGTTTTGCTAATCATTCAAACTGAAAATCGCGGACATATTTTTTTGTCCGAAACATTTGCATATACCTCTAAAATCCGTTTCCCAAAAAACGGGCCTCTTATACGCCACTACGAATGGGACTTAAGTCGATATGCACATGGCTGCGGATTCGGAATTCTGAGTCTAACATAAAATTTTGGCCAGTAAAATTGACCTGATTAGGGCTTGAATCATTGTTCGAACGAATCATTAGAAGAAAAAGTGTCATCTAATTTATTTTTCAACAGAGCCATTTTCAGATCGGATCGGAGTTTAGCTTCTTTAACATTTTTTTGGCTATTACTTTTACTTAGAATAAAATTATGTCCTCATTGAAAATCTTTTGGATATATTGAAATATTATCTAATTTTATCGCGACTATCGATATGATTCACGGATATATATTTGTCTTTATCTTACAACACCATGCAAAGGATACATTTATATTAGAGGCCCGCATTTGGCAGTTTTTTAACCCGCCCCGAAAAAAATCACCCGCTTGCCCATTTATTTAAAGTTTTTGTTTAGTCTTTCCGTCCAATGTTTAAAAATTATTTGATTGGTTGATTTAGCTTTGTAGTATTTTCGTTTGAACTTTTAAAACAAATTCAACTGTCCTCCCTTTATTTTGATAATATTTTTAACCCGCTTGCTCCCTCATTTAATGTTTAATTTGCCCGTCCGTTGCGGACCTCAAGTTTATATACAACTCCTCATGGTATATTTGTGAACTTCGAAAGAAAAGAAAGAAGAAAAATAAATAAATAAGGAACAATGAAGTAAAATAAATTTTTTTTAAAAAAACCTACGAAGGAATTTAAAAAAAAATTTTTTTTTAAAGAAACTTTTGATAATGTTTTTTGTCCAAATTTGTGGACAATAGAGATTCATTCATTTATAATATGCCAAAACAATTTTTTTTAAACTAACATCAATGATCTCGACACAATAAGCGCGTTTGACTGACATTTGAAAATGATAGATAAGTGGGTATGTGAGTGAGCTGTATTTCTTTTCTAAGTCTAGCTTACATCAATCAGGTCATCGTAGCCCATATTTAGGTTCAGGATAAAAATCAGGGAATGTATATGAAATCGATTTTTTTTTAAAATCGCAACAAAAAGCCGGAATGGAAGAAGGAACATATCGAGAAAAATAAATGAACAAATTTATCGCACATTAAAAATAAGGCTATAGGTTATTCGATCGATGTCCTAACATACATTGCTTTCTAACCCGCTCCAAAAAAGTCCTGAGTTTCGCTGACCTTGTCGTGTTCCATGCAAGGGAAAACACGATTTACCCCTCAGTTGCTCTCAAACCGTCTTATCAAAAATGGTTGTTTTATATGATGGAATCACCTCACTATACCTTCAACGATTACAAGTTTCATTTTTTTTTGAAAACGATTTAGTGGCCACAATTTGTTATTCATCAAGTATATCTGATTCCATGCTATTTTATGTCGACGGTACTCGATCTGTATCTAAATTAAGGAAGGGGAGAGGGGGATCTGTTATCATATAATAATGCTCAAATATTTAAATTTATTTAATAGGATGGGATACTGAAATCAGCTATAATAAATATGCTATATATTTAATTAGGATTAAAATCTATTAATTTTTCTAAAATAAATCTATATCAGTTAATTTGCAATTTTATTAAGGGCCAGATAAAGGCAAATATCGACTCTACCATTTATATTAAAATTAAAAATTTTGCATAATTTAAGCCTAAGATTTATTCTATTTCACGAGTATGTAGTTGTACCGGATGAATATATAACCTACTATATTCAGAATTCGAATTTTGTAGAAACCGAGTTTTTTTGAAGTCAACTAGGTGGTTCTGTGCTACGAGTTATGACATATAGAATATCGGAAGCGGGCGCGTGATTCCGCCTTCAAATATTTAAAAAATGGACCCATTTTATATACAATTTAGTCGTTGTTTAGCAAATGGACTGACGGGATTTATGACTAGCCACATTTTTTTTAATTGTTAATAAGTGTTGTTTAAAATATGGAAATAGATGGCAGTAATAATTTATGAGTTATCAGTTATAATGCAACTAATATTTAAAAAAAAATACTTTATGTGCTGATTGGGGTTTTTCCGGAATTTTTTTTTTGGCATTTTTTTCTTAAGATATGTTACGGGTTTTATTTTTTTCGGGGATCTTTCGAAAAGTTGATTTCGGGTTTTTCTTGAAAAAATAGATAACCTGTACCAATATTCTTCCTTTTGTTAATAGTAACTTGGGTATGTGTGTTAAACATCCTTTATAAGGTTATTAAAACAACTATTTCTTCTGTTTTTAACAAATTGATGAATTTAAATTGCTTCTATTTTTTATTTTCAGAAGAATCATTATAAAGTAATGGCAAAAAGGGAACATTTACTCCTAACTTGAGCCGACACCAAAACTAGGCCCGAGTTTTTAGACCAGCAGACCGAGTTGTTAGCCAATCGATCGATCTTACAACGCTAAATATCCCCATTATATTTTGTAGTATTGTTAAACGGCTCGATTTGGGCCGATTTTTAAAAACAACAAACTCAATATTTTAGTCAAAAAAATATTGTCCAAGTCTCGAGATTTCGCTATTAAATATCCACACATTTGTATTCAAGCTTGCATAATACTTTTCTAAATAAAATATTGAGTTGGCCATACTTCAAAATACAAATGAATATTTATATTTACTATAATATCAAATTAAATTTTTTTTATAGGAATCTGAAAGGGCTGTTTGATTGGACTAGCACATACACCTCCGATTCTGATATATTATCGCCATATGGAGCTTACCTACCTTACTCGCCTCTTCTATCAAATGTATCTAATTACTCCTCGTAAAAATTTTTTTTTTAAAATATACTTTGATTTATTATGTAAATTTTCTGACTGAAATTGAGTGAGTTTTCCTGTTTGCTTCTAGGAATAATATATTCCTCAATATGTTTTTCAAATAAGCGATGAGACCTACTCGATTAGCCCGTAACTCCAATGAAAAAAATTGTGTGATATCAGTTTACCCCTTCCTTTCCTTTTTTTGAAATTTTTTTTAATATTTCCCTAAATTTACTTTTCGCAAATACGCTCAGAAGACTCGAAAAACAATTTTCACCCCCCGCAGATGATAATTCGGTCCTGAAATGCCTGATTGCCAGAAAATCCCGGATGGCTTTATGGATGGTTCATCACTGTATCACTTCTAGCTCTAGTTCTAGAGAAACGTTGGCTCTGAAATTATCATTCTACTTTCCTATCGACGTCATAGGCGGTTGTAAAAATGATATGACCCACTTGATGTCACATCTCGACCAAAAAAATAGATCCAAGTTTAGGTTTATTCAGGATACCGTTGAATATTTTAATGATAGCGAATGTTTTCATGGCAACAAAATTGAAACAGAACATTATGAAGGGATTGACCTGAAGGGGGAAAAATGGCACCGTAAAACTAACAAAGCTAAATGGTCTTGTGACTTCGACCTCAATCACTTAGCCTCGACTACCTGCTTGAAGCGTCTAGGAAGTGTTTACAAATTTTACCTGGCCTTCGAAAACAGGTCGAATAATGCATATTGTCAATAATATTTAGGCTCGGCCTGCGAAAAATAATAATATTATATTTTCTTCCTATTCATCTTTTTTTTTCTTGATCAAATTGTCACAATTATAAAATTAATTAAAAAATACGAAAGGTTTTGAAAAAATGAGGAGGCTGGGAAATATTTTAATTTTCTTATCACATTTTGTCATAAATTTAGAGTAAAATAGATAAATATCATTACATTTTCAAGGTTATTGCTGAATATTTAAATATATTCCACAAAATTAAAAATGGTTACACAACAATTCGGGGGGGGGGGGCAATTCAACGCAGCGACAATTCGCCGCATTTTATTCAAAATATTAAATAGGAAAAAATTAGATATGATAGTTTTGTAAGCTTGTTATATCTATAATTATCTAAATACTAGCTGATGGAATCAGAAATTTCTCCTTTATACAATGATGGATGAATAATAAATTTTACCTTTATTTGATGATGGATGATCAAAAATTTTCCTATCTTAAATTTATATTTATTTAGATGAGGGTTTGTTCTAAAATTTTCCATTATTTTTGATAAAATATGTTTATGAAGTATATATTTAGTAATTTTAATTTATGTGCACTATAAAAAATCTTTTAAAATAAATTCAGTTTTATTTGTAATTTATAATCTAAAATATATATTAGTTTTGTGGGGCCAAGTTAAATCGAAAATAAGTTATGCAAAACTCATCTAGCAAGATTGTATTTTTTAGATAATAAATTACTAATACAAATGAATAAAAATTTAGTTTAAAAGATTTTATTGTGTACACAAATTAAAATTATCATCATTTAAATAAATATAAATTTCTGAATCACATCTCATAAGATAAAATTTCTGATTCACCCATCATTAAATAAAGGTAAAATTTATTATTCATCCATCAGGCGCGTACGCAGGAATTTGGTTTGGGGGGGGGGGAATAATAAATTTTTTTAAGAAATATAATTGTTTTTTAAAAATATCAAGCATAAATATATTAGGACTAATGACTATTCCTAATACACAATTTTAAATTAATGTGAATTATAAAAAAATTATATGTAAAGAATCACTAAAATCCCAAAATAGAAATTTGATTTTTTTTGAGCCTTTACACAAAAAGTTTCTTAGAAATAATTGTATTTTTTATGTTATATATTTACAATGTAAAATCCAATCTTCGTTGGGATTGAGCTAATTTTTCAATTATCTCATCCTTGCTTTTAGTCAAATGCCTATGAATATTCAAAAGATCCAAACCTTTCAATCTACTTTCAGACGTTGTACTTCTTGGTATGTTTTTCAGAGACCTGCTGGCCCGGCCCCTGGGCCGGACAGTATTTTAATTTTTTTAAATATACCCGGGCCGGGCCCGAATTTTTTTTCAAAAAACACTCAAGCCATGCCTGAATTATTTTAAAAAAAACACCCAGGCCGGGCTGTATTTTTTAAAACAGCCTATATTTGAAATCGTTATTATTAGCTATAAAAATCAAAAATAAATATAATTTATTTAAAAAAAATCCGGGCCGGGCCTGAAAATTTTATTTAAAAAAAAGTCGGGCCGGGTCTGAAAAATTTTCAAAAAAAGCCGAGCAGAGCCTAATTTTTTTAAAAAAGCCGGGCCGGGCCTGAAATTTTTTTAAAAAATACCCAGGCCGGGCCGTAAAAAATCTTTAAAAAAAATCCGGGCCTTGCCCTGCAAATGTTACTTCTACAGGCCTCTGTTATTCTATTTAAAAAAGAGAATGTTCTCTCATTAGTTTACTAATGGAAAGAGTTTATAAACCCTTTTAATACTTTGGGAATTTAATCTAAAATGTGTTTGAAATAATGCAGAGCATCCATAGCATTTTTTGGGATTATATCAACCATAGTTAATCTTATAAACATAGTTATTCAGCTAGTAAGACATCATAAGATACTTTAACATCTTCATAATAAAAATTTAACAAATATTTTTTTTCTATCACCACCTGAAAAAGGTTGGGAAGGCTTTTGTGGAAGTAATATTTGCAGATTAGTAAGTGCTGCATGATGAATTAAAAATTCATTTATTTGGGTTATAAATGTATCTGTATCTAAGATATACTCTTCTACTGATCCTATATTAATGTTTTAACGATGAGCTTGCCTTGCTACAAGTCGAGGGAGACAAATATTAAACACGTATAGCTCTGCTAACAATAAAATATAAAATATGAAATTCTTCATCAACATTAGCCCTAATTTCCTTGAGTTCTGATAAAATGCTCTCCGCTATTCTCGTCTTCATCAAGTCAATGTCATGTTTTTGAAAAGTAATACCTAAAATAGTTGTATAATTAAATAATACATTCTAATGAGAAATAAAATTTGTAATAAGCATTGAATCCAATAATTTTCTTGTTTCTGAGAAAATATTTTTTTCAGGCCATTGTGATATTTCGTAATAGCAAATAATTGGCTCTTCTAACTCCTTAAAAGCTGTTACTGCTTGATGGCAGAGACTCTATCTCGTTGGATAAGGTTGCAATTTCTTTTTCCCTGTTGGACCAGAAGTTTCAGAAATAATTATTATTTGACTAGAAATTTGAAAATGGTAGATAAATATTATGCCACTAAAAATTTGAAAATAATAAGTAAATATTACGCCGGAATACTTGAAATCGAATTAATTGATAAAATAAATAATCTATGAATGTGATAATAAATGTAATTAAATATATATTTAATATGAGATACGAATAAATATTAACAAATATAAATTAATATAAACAATAATATTTTTGAAAAATATATCCGGCATCTGCACCCCCCCCCCCCCCGCTGTTTACGCCAATGTCATCCATCATTATGTTTATGATATGTCAAGTGATAAGTGCATGAATGTTTGAATTTGGTATGATATTATAGCTATGATGATTTTTATTGGGCCAATATATTTAAAAAAAACCCTATTGGCTAAATTTGATTGACGTTTTTTGAGGATTATATATATAATAGATTGTAATGAAAACATGACCATATATTTAATTAAGTTCCGATTTATTTAAAAATCATAATTTTACTTAAATATATAAACAAAAAGAATTTGCTTAATTATTAATCGTAATTAGAGTTGTTAAACGGCTCGATTTGAGCCGATTTTTAAGACGACTAACTCAATAATTTATCCAGAAAAACAGGGCACAAAGGTTTGGACATCTATTATCAAAATCTTGAGGCTTATAGCAATATTTTTATGGCTAATATTGAGTTAGCCCTTTTTAAAAATTGACTCAGATCGAACCGTTTAAAACAACACTAACCTCAAATACATAAATTTTAATTTTATAATTAATAGTTGAATTGACGTTTGAGAAAATTAGCATAATTAACCAATATTTTATATTTATTATTTAGTACATATATATATATTATCCGACAAGATTTATGGTGAGAAAAAAAAATTCATATACACATAATAGGTTTATAAATGCGTTATATTGGATTAATTTAATTTTAATTCAAGGTGAGGGGGAAAAAGTTACATGAGAGAAGAGGTATATTAAGATCCTAAGGCGCAATAAAATGAAAATAATTTAATTGCTAGATGAATTCTAAGGAGATTTGGCAATATTCCTTGATTAGATATAAAAAATGGAATACTAAAAAAATTACGTCGAGATATTTTCTCAATTTTTTTCTCAAAGGTTATTACGTTGTCCGCTCCCCTCGAAAATGCTTATGGTCCTTTTTCCTTTACTCAGAATAATTACTACAGAATACACAACAATTTTTATTAAATCGCAATAAAGATTAAAATAATTTTTTTGTATTTTTAATAACTAAAAAAATAAATGAATTTAATATAATTTTGCTTCCCATTTATAAGAAGCTATGATTCACAAAACATAATTTAAAAATAAAAATAAATTAAAAATACATTTCTTAAAAATTATTCACCCTTGAATCATGCTGAAAAATCTTAATTATAATTAAAAATAAAACTATACAAAATAAAAATAACTCAAAAATGGCAATACATAATGACTTAACCAAAAATCATCTTTTACAAATCTAAAAATATAATGTTAACGCGATAAAAATTAAATTATATAAAAATAACTCACAAAACGTAATCATAATTACTTTACCAAAAAAATTCAACTTTATAAATAATATTTTCATTCACTTATGACACCTCCGATAAATTTCCAAATTGTATTTGTAGGTTCTTATATTAAGCCTCCAAATTCTTTCAAAAACTACTTAGACGTTAAAAAAACCTTAAATAACACTTAAGCCATAGGACCTGGCCTAATATATCCTGATATCTTACTCCCAATTTTGAAAATGTATTAGCAAAAAATGGCTAAAGTCCCGATGACTTTAATTTATTAAAATCTTAGATTATATATTTATTATTTTAATGGTTCCAATATTTTAATAATCGTTTTGACTAAACTGCAAATGCCAAGGTAAACTGCAAATGCTATATATTTTTATTTATTAAATTTTTTTTATTACTTAGCAAAATGAAAGTCACTTTTATTAATGTGATATTAGATTTTTTTAAAATAAATCTCAACGAATTAAATTGATTAACACGTTTTCAATGCAACATTTAGATATTTATTGATATGACCACTAATTTGCAAAATTATCTTATTTAGTGTTTTTTAAAAATCAGTATTTTGTATAAAATGCATCAAATAGTCTGAGCCGTATTATTGCCCGCCAAATTGTCGCGATGCAATAAGAGAATAAAAAATGTAATATTTATTCCGGACGCAATATGCAGGGCCTAGATCTAAAAAATTTAGCCAATAGTTCGGGGGCGGACTTGTGCTGCGATTTTCAGGTCTATGTATATTATAAGTATTTGAATATATTTTGGAAGTACTTAGTATAATTTCTTTTAAGATGTCGGATTGTTATAATATTTAAGCGATTTAAAATAAATAAAATAATAAATCAAGTCTTTGCAAAGAATATATAACTGAAAAATTTTGGTACAACGCCCTAACCATGAATATGGTGCCGATTGTGTTCGGTGCTCCAAAATCTGACTATCTCAAGGTGGCGCCCCCGCACTCATTCATTCACTTAGACGATTTTGGTGGGAATGTAGAAGCTTTAGCCAAATATATAATAGTTACATTTCTTATTTAATTATTTTTCTTTAAAACTGATAAAGTTTATAATAAAAATAAATTGAATGTAATTAGAAAAGAAACATAAAAGAATGCTTATAACTTTTAACGTTAAAAATAATAAAATATTTAGAAATATATTAAAGGGAACCGACACTGATACCAATTTATTAAAAGGAGCTAACCAATGTAATTACATTTTTCTTGGGGAGTTACTAGGGAAGGAAGGGCTAGCCTCTGAACCGTAACCAAACTCTTACTTTTATAACTAACGGGTTGGGTCCTGATATATTTGATAATGATTTCATTTTCACCTTCAGTTTTACTCTAGAGATTAAGGAATAAGTCGTATAATCCTTGATAAATATATTCAACAATTTAAATTTCTCTAAAAAATATATATTACGACTAGTTTCTTGATTCCAATGACACAGAATACGCCAAATATTTTGAATACAAATCATACGGCAAGATAGAAAATTATATTCTAGTCAGACCGACACCTTCTAATCCTATGTGGTGTACCATGTGTTCGAAACTTCATTCTACATCTCGTCATCTCAAGTCAAATAACACCTTGCTAGATTCACCGTTATCACCCTTGAAAGACAATAAGAATGCAACCTGGAGTCAATTGGGACTGAATGTCTGGTGGCAGGTGTCTAACATGTGTACGGGTGTTAAAATATTTGCTTAATTTTAAAAACAAATTTGTAAGCCAATTGTTGCGATTCGAAATGATTTTATCGGCTGCTATATGGTTTCAAAAATCCAGTCATTTTTTATTTGATATGATATGACAAAAATTTTTTTTTGGTGTCCTAAGTCAAAACCAAGCACACAATTTTGAAAAATAAAACAAATATAGATAATCATTAAGCGTCATCTAGTAAATTAATCTTGCTATATATATTTTGTCTTCCAATAATTATTCAAAAGCTTCATATAGCTTCCCTGTATTATTATATATAACTTAAAAATGCATGAGTCTCAAAATTTACTATGTATTTTTTTTACATACTTTCCTTTTTTTTCCAAAATCTCGTTATATACTAATATAATAAATTTTACAATTTACGTGATTATCTTCAGAATGTAATTTTTTTAAAAAAATTTAATCAATTTATCAAATTTATCTCAAAATTTAATATTATCCTTGTGATTTATAAAAAAAATTTGTGATAAACTAATTAGTTTTAATATTTAAAAAAAGAGCTTCCATTAAAATTATGAATTTTTTTAAGATCGTTTTTATATTTTGGGAAATCGCAATATAATTATATAGTATATGCAAAGTGTAATTAATAAAGATTTGCATCTCACTTATTTTTATATTTATTATCTCTCATATTCTCTAGCACCTGACACTTTAGACGTATTTTTAATTGGTGCCGTAACTAGAATTTTTTTGCTTTAACACGTTTATTGCACATTAATTTTTTTCCATTCAATAATCTTTGTCTCAAACGCTAGTAATATTAGTTTCATCAATTTTTTAAAATGGGATTCGTGATAGGTAATTGTGTAATATAATTATGGTAAAAATATATAAATAATTTGTAATTAATAAAATGACTAAATTAGGATAATATTAAGCATAATTTATGTAATGTTAATAATTTTTTTAGATACTTTTAAATGTAAGGGACATAAAATGCGAAAAAAGCAATTAATAGTCTAGTATTTTTTTGGGAAAATGCCTTTTGTTGTTACGGCCCTTTATTCAGTAATAAGGCTTTAGAATATTCTAAATAAAAAAATAATTTTCAGAATAAATTTATAATGATTACTGATCATATTTTACATTACACATGAAATTTTTATAGCATCTAGTAATGCATCAACTATCCAAATGCGCATAATGTTAGTCCATCAGTCATCTGCAATACCTAGGCCCGCTGCACTGGAATTTTTTTTGGGCTGAGCAAAAAATTAATGGACCGGAACTTAATAAAAATTAGAGAATATAAGGAAATTATTCTAAAGCCTAATCATTTTAAAATTATGTTTTAATTGGTTTATAATTTCATTGATGACAAATTATTGTTAGATTTTATTTTAATTTTTAATTCTCAAAACAAGGTCTAGAAATGGGACATATTTTATAACACGTTATACTTATTGATGTTTCTGATATAATATTTGATCGAGGTGATAATCCATAAAGTATAGTGTTTATTAATATTACCACTCCTCAATATTATAAATAGTTGTTTATTTTGGTGTTCAATTGTTAGGCCTTATATTCAAAAACCGAACCGGGGAACTTGAGTAAAAAATGAAACCGGGCTGGGCAACCTTAGTGAAAAATTGATACCGGACTGGGAAAAAATTGATTTGTCGGGAATAAATAAATTCTCACCGGGCCTGGCCTGAGAATTTTGCCATTTGCAGAACATTGATGTTTATTTCCCTCAATAATTAGAAGCAATGGTATAGTTTGTACGTTGCTTCAATAAAAACAGATTAACCTCCTTTTTTAATAAAAAGATATTCTGATTTATTAAATTATTAGTATATACTTTTATAATCATATTTTTTCACCATAAACATTACGATATTGTTTTTCCAACAAATTTTTCAAATCACTTTTGTATGTTTGATAACTAATACTATTTTTGTAAAGATTCCTCATTGTTATTTTCTTCCCCATTTTATTAAAATAAGCAATTCAAATTTTTCTCCCTAAATGTTCTATTGTTCTTTTTCCTCCCCAGCCAAGATAATTAAATTTATTTTTTCATTTTTGCTTACTCCCTCCGCCCCCTTCTCGCTATCTGAATGTTTTATTTGAATAATGTAAATTGAGACAGGCCTCGCTTTATCATATCTTTATTGTTTTTTAAAAAAATTTTATAAGGAAACATTATTCGTTTGATGAGATAATATATAATTTTTTTTCGTTTATTTATAATAAATTTAGATTTTAGATTTGAATAAAATAACTAAAAAGAAGGTTATATTATAAATATGTTCCAAACCGTAGAAATCGAGCATAATAATGCTTAACAATTTTTATTAACTTTATTTTTATAGATTTTGAAAGGAGAGAATTTTTTTTTATTTTTAGAGATACAATTAAACTATGCTTCAAGTTGAAATGATAATCTAGACCAATATTTTAGATTTTCAAAGTTTTTATTATATTTTAATAAATATCATATGATGGTTATTTTAATTTTTTTTAGAAGCAGCAAATACTTTACAAAAGAAAAATGGCACAAAGTTACTAAATATTTAATTATCTGAATAATGTTATTCCAAAAGTTCAAATAAAAATTATTTACCAGTAAAGAAGCAACAAAACGCAATGGCGTTTTCTGAGGTTAGATAGTAAAGCCCAGCAAGCAATTCTATTATTTAGAGCCATACGACTTTTGCAACGATTCGAAAACTCACTTTTATTTCTAAATAAAGGATAAATTAGAATTCTTCTGGTATTTAACTTTATACAAACTAAAAATGCTTTTTATTTATATTTTTAAATTTAAATATTTTCACCAGGACCAAAAGGAAGGTGTTAGTGTTGATGCCTAAAAATCAATAGGCAGGAATGAGATAGGGTTTTAAGATAAATTGAAATGGGCTCAGGCCAAAAAAATCGAATTTGCAGAGCTCTACATCGGGTGAGTATGTTTTTTTATTACCCCATTCACAGTTAGTGCGAATTTGTGGCGAAATATACAAAAATGAATGTGAAATTTTTATAATTATTGATTGGACTTAAAAAAATTTTTTATTTAATGTGATGTGATTCAATATAAATTTATTCACCTGCTTTGCTGCCATATATGATCATTTTATTAACTACACTAAACGAAAACTAAGAAAAAATATATCTAACTTACTAATCTTAAATCCTATTATACACACTATAAATTAAAGTTTATTATTTTATTCTAAGATTAATCCCATTTTCTAACCATAAAAATAATTGGGGTACTTTTGATAGAAGTCTTGTTTCCCCGATCTGTTTGCCTATCCATTTTTTCACTTCCAATCTATACCAAATTCACATATATAACTATTAAAGTTTTTATATTGTTAAACCTCTTCAAAACATTTGTGTTATAGTATACCTACTACAACTTTACAAAGAAAGTTGAAACTATTCAAATAAAGTAACCAATGACCGTCAAAAAAAAATTAATAAACTAAACTTCAAGAATATAAAAAAACGGTATTATTTTTCCAATTTTTTTTTAGATTGTTAATTAGTAGTCCTCGGATATTTATATATTATATTTCTAACCATATTTCGGTGGGCTTCTCCTTTTTTTTAATATTAGTTTTTGTAATTAAGATAAATATCTGAACAGATATAAAATATTATTTATAAGTTATCATAGCATCAATACTTTTATAAAATAAAATTATCTCAATTTATTTTTATATAAAAGTTTAAAAAGAATAAAAATATCCACCAGATGGCGTCTTGTTTAATATTTTTTATTTTTTTAAAAAAAATACAAGAGTTTAATATTCATTTATTGCTCATAATTTCTTTTCCTTTAAATAATTTTGCAAAATATATAGTTAAATCAAAAATTATTGACAATAGCGAACTATTAAATATTTAATGATAAAAATCTAGGACGAGCCTGGCCGGGCCTTACAGAGACTCTAATCTATATCTTATTGCTTATACTATTTAAACATACAGATATAAAATAAATGAATTTTCTATATTTTCAGGACTATTATATTTGCATGGAGATCCTGATACTACCACCTATTATATTTTTTTTTCTCATTTGCACTCTGCATTTTATTAAAAAAATAAATATTAATAAAAACATTTCATTTTTGGTAGTGAACAAGACAGGACGATAGTAAAAATATTTCAATCCAATACTCTTTTAAAATGTACATATTCGTCGGAAAAACAGGGTAATGCTGTTATGTCTAAAAAAAAATGATAAAAGATAATTTTTATTCTTTTAAATGGGATTTTATTTTCTCGGAATGACCATAAAAATATAAAAAATTTAATGATTTTATGCAACGATTTGTAATAATAAAAATTTGGTTATTTTTTTTGCCATATATAAAATATAATTTCAAAATATAACTTTTTTATATTCCCCTAAATAAATGAAATAATAAAATAAATTATTTGTGGACAAATAAATAACTGCGAATCTATGAATCACGTTTTAAAATCATATATAGGCTGGAAACAGTCCTTTAAAAGAATTAATCGACAAAACTAAGAATGTCAAGAGAAAGAGTTAGAAAGCCTTTCATGAAAAAGATAATATCTTTTAAATAAAGAATATCTTAATTATGTTAATAATTTGCCTAATAGTCGAAACAAAGATAAATCATATTCATTAGAAACAACGCCATCTATTTTAAAACCAAAAGGCTCAATAAAAACCAAATCAGCGACGTAGAATTAAAGCAACTCGAAATTATAATTTACAATCAAATAGATAATATTTATCAAATAGAATTTAATGTTAGATTCTTTATTAAATCGTCATTTACTGCTCATATTTTCAATTTTCTTTTCATAATTTATACGATATTTTAAAATTTTTAGGCCTGGCTTAGAAAATATCATGGCCGAGTTTAAAATTTCCTCTGCAGGTCTCTAGATGAGTTATATATTTTTCTCCGCGAAAAACAATGTATATAATAATGTATAGAAAAAAATAAAACAATAACGATTTTGTGTTTTTATAACTTATTGCGAACAAAGGCTATTTAAAATAAAATAGAAAAAAAATAAATAACCCACATATAAGTTAAAAAGTTGATTTAAATATAAATTTATAAATATTTAAAAAAATTATATAAATTATCATGAAAAGGACTATAGGTTGTTCTAAAACATGCCAATAACATTAAGGGAAAGCCACCCATCCAATCCTGGACATACTTTTGAATCCATCTATGATATATTCTGATTAATTGGAACCGTCGACTCAGAGAAATTTATTTAGAGAATCTTCATATCAATTTTATCTCCTCCTTCTCCTCCAATACTTGCCAATATAATAAGGGAGCTTACAATCTCAGGTATATTTTATTTTTCACTTAATTCAGGGTCACGGCCAAGAATTTTCCAAACCCACGAAATAGATTTTTAAAAATATTTTTGTTATGATTATGAATCAAATTAATTTTTCTGAGAAAAGTTGAATTATTTTTTATAAATAATTTATGATAATATAAGTCTAATTATTTTTAAAAAAATATATATATATACATTTTTGAAATGCGATGAAAAGTACCCCTGGAATCAATGAAAACCCGCGTCAAACAAGCGATTCTATTGTTAGGGCCCGTTCTATTCATAATATGGTCTATGAAAAAA